AGCCGTTTGGGGATTAAAATTTAGGTCTCGTGATGAAACGACTTGAAATCGGGTCTTCGTTTCCAACAATATGGTCTGTTCTGCGATAATCTGCAATAATTTCCCCCCAAAGGACGTTGGGAAAATTATTGAGTCACCCCGCATCCGTGCTTGTTTTGCTCTTACAAGTAGGCAAATCTGTATGACGCGTACACATGTGCTGGAATTAAATTTCACAGGCAATTGCACCACGCTAATGAGATCACGTTATTCCTTATTCTATTAAATCTTTTAACTAACATATTTCAAGCAATCTTATTAATGTTTTTCTTGCCGATAATAAATGTTATTGCATTTCATCATAGATCAAATAAAAAATTAAATGATAGTTGAATTTAATTTTTAATCTTGATTTCATTACAGTAAACCGCTGCTCATGATCACTCAGTTTTTCAGGCCGTTAACTTTGGGCGGCCCTCTGAAAGCGAAATTAAATTATTAGGGCTGCGCTGAGTGAGACCGAAAACGCAGAGACGCCCTGCTTATTTTGTCAATGACGTCAGTCTGTTCGGCAACAATTTACATTGAGCATACAACCCGCGCGGCACAGTAACACTCGGCAACAGCCCGGCGCTATAACAGCTGCCATATTATCGTATGTTTTCCTGCACTCGTCACCCACCAACGGTAGATAATCAGATATTCACGCATAAAAACTCTTTCAAGAAGCAGCCGTATTTTAATTCGCGTGCTCCTGCCGGATGCGAACGCCGATAATTTCGGAGAAAGGATCTTATAAGTGCGAATGACGCACACAGTTTAGCATAGCGCGGGTCTATGTCAAGATCGCGGCCTATTTCGACAGTGCATAACCCACCGCAGCAAACAGCCGACGCAAACAAGTTGATTAAATTCTGCCACGGCAGCCTTGTTGTTGTAAATTAGAATTGGCTGTTCATCTCTCTCAAAAACACCAGCCTCTGGAGATGGAAATCTCTGTATTTGTTGTTTACTGAATTGGCGTGAAAATTGGCATGCGAGTGGAAAGAAAAAAAATCCTTATCAACAGGTTAACAGCAATCAAGCATTTCAAGGTAAAATAAACAAAGAAAACATTTTCACCAACTATAAAGCTACTCAATCTTCAAGTAGGTAATAAGTTGATGAAAAATCTCATACCCGAAAAAATAGAATGCAAAATTGTAGATTTATAAATAATTTTTTATTTAATGATGTTAAGGACCAAATTTCAAATTACCTTCCACTCAAAAGCTTCTAACTTTTATTTTTTCCTCGGTTTGAATTAATTGTAAGTTCATTTAAAAGTTTAAAGGGAGTTTTTTTTCTTGGGGTGAATGCAACCCTGTTTCCCCTCCATTAAGTTCTTCCATCAAAAGGAGCGGTCGTGCTGTCGCAGTAAAACTCTTACTGAGCAATAAATTTGCGTTCAAAGGTGTGTTTGTGTGTGCTATAGTAAATGCCGAATGATCAATATCCGGCGAGAACACGGGAGCGTGACCTCGCACTACATACGAGTTCGAGTCTTTCTCTCTCACCGGCCCGCTTCATGCCGCTGACGAGAAGCAAAGAATAAAATAACATAGCCACCACCAGAACCTTTTCTCTTTATTTGGTCGCGCAAAATTCAAAGATCCTTTTTGGTCAGTGGCCAAATTTGAGGAGACGTCGAGAGCGTCTCGCGGCCTTGCAAGGTACTTCCTCGAAACAGCGCAAGAGAGACCTTGCCTGCCGTCCGAACGCCACTTGAAAAATTGTGATGCTGGCAATGAAGTGTGTGTGGCGTCGTTCTGCTGACGTCACGAACAACAACTGCACGCAAAACATCACGGATTTGCTAAAAATATACCACTCTCGAAATGCCGCGTGTCCTTTAAATGGCCACATCCAACTTAATGACACAGTGCGTTTGAAAAGGGAAACTTGATTGACTCGGCCACATTTACTCAAAACAGACTTTGTAATATTTCATACTTCCGTCGGACATGGAATTCCCATGGAAGATAAATGTTTTAAATTATTCTTCTCACATTATAGGGGATAATATTTCCAGATTTTTCTTAGCCTGTCACGAGTGTAGATTTATTAAACGGATACCAGCAGAATCTTTTTATCGAGGTGGAAAGTCTGGACCAGCAAAAGTTGGTGACATTGACGTCAGCTTTTTTTAACCTCGCTCCTAAAGCTATGAACGAAAGTTTTTGGTAATAAGAAAGATCATTACTATAAGTTATTAGCGCAAGTAACAAGAGTAATTGTTTTAATATTTTGATTAGAATCGAAATAATTTCTCAGTTATATTTTTGGTATAAAACTGCTGAAATCGGCAATGTAACTTTAACAAACGAGTGGATAATTTGCACATAATTTAACATAAAACAATTTTTTAAGGAAAGAATCAAAGTGATGACATACGTTCACGTCACAATCCTGCCCCCCTACGATATAAATAACGCAGAACTGCTAGAAGCAGCCTGTTTAGTGTAGCCGTATTGCCATTTTCCATCCCCTAGCAGTGCAACGCAACCCCTGGGCGGCAGCGCTGCGACTTGTTTATTCAATCAAGGGCTGCTAATGAACGCAGAGCAGGGTTTGCAATTGCCCTCGGTGCTCTCTACTTTGCGTTGGATCTTCTTCGGTAGCAAAGAGGACATATCCATGGCAGTGGAAGATGACGAGCAGGTACACACACTGACATAGTCGGTGCCAAATTATTCCGCAATTCCGAGCAATCGCGCTGTACTAGGCGAAGCAATTTTCGGTGGCGGCAGAATGAAATCGTAGCAGTGAAAAGAAAAAAGGCGCTGCTGCTTTTAGAATTGCTTTGTCTGGCTTCGCAGGAAGCCCCAACTTTGCTTTGCATTATTATTTTCCGGCTACGTTTTTTCCTTCAATGAGAGAAATTGCGGCCGTTCCCCAGGCGAATTTCGCACGACCATAGCTGAGGTTAATTCGTCGGCTCGACCTTTCGGCTGCCAATAACTGCTCAGCGTTGCATGAACGCGGTGTATAATTGCGTTTTGCACGCTCACAGCTTCTCGCTCTTTTCACATGTAGCTCGATCATCAAATCGGATAACAAGTTGCAAAGAGTATTTGAAAATTATATTTGATAGAAAAAAAACGTAAAATTACTCATTAATATTTTTTCCCGCGGCAACCAGGTCCCGTTAGCCGTCGAGTAATTAGGCGACAGGGATACAACTATACCAACAGCAATAATGCTGCAGTTTTTAGAGAGAGGAAATTTCTTTGCAATGACTAATGGTCGCTGGAGGGAACTGCTTCGGAGGACAATCGCTGCCGATTATTCGTGGACAAAATGCAAACTGCAAACGCCATGGGAATGCACTTTGCGCTCATTAGGTGGCTAGTTAGCGAGAGCCTTATGGTGTTGTGCACACACCGCGCTGCACGCCTCACTTACAGTTACTTGACAGAATGCAAGCCGAACTGCTCGGCCTTATTTCCCTCTCTCTCACTATGGCGGCGGTTTTGACAAGATGAGTTTTTGTGCGTTTTTGCGTCGAGCCCTGACTACCAAACAAATATAAAATAATAATTTATATAATAGTATCGGCGGTCAATCAAATTTAAAGAATCGACAAGAAAAATCAGCTTACACTTGAAAACGAAATATCTCTTGTAAAAGAAGTTTTTTTTTTGTTTATTTAAAAATAACGTTAATTATTATTATTTTTTAAACAAATATTGGAGTGTGTGGAATTATATTATTTAATTTTAACTCTTTCATAATATGATTTTTTCTAAATAAATAAAAAAAAAATTTAAGTACATACCATATTGAAACAATTAAGTGTCAGAACATTTTTGTTCCAAAAACTATCAAAATTATCATATTTATTATAGTATTGATAAATTAAGTATACACGACTTGATTTTTCTTGTCAACTCTACAATTTTCAACTATGTATTTTTACAGTGTTTATTCTGCTATTTCAGATTAAATTTAACCATCAATTAGAAATCTTCTCTCAATTAGAAAATAGAAAAATTAAAAATGAAAAGAAAGCTTGCGGCATGATTTTATTACAGACACCCGCGGAACCCTTGGTCGCCTACCAAATAAGCAACTATTTTGGGAGTTAATAACGAAGCCGCACGCAAATTAATGCGGTCGGTGGAAAAGTTGAGAAAGAATGACGTGTTAGTTGAAAACCTCTACAAAATATGGCTTAGTCCTTTCAAACCGCAGGTTGTTGAAGGAGGATGTTAAAAAGTAGCCCCCCATTGTCGCAGGAATTAAGGAAAAAAATATCTAAGATTTTTGCAATAACTGAAATTAGCCGTTCAAAATTTAAAAATTGAAAGAATGCTGCAATAAAATTTTCAGATTTCAATCAGAAATATTATTCAATTTTTTATAATGTCTTATATTTTTTATTTTTTATAAAAGTAATGGATCACAAATAATTGGAATTTTTTATATATATATTTTTTTATATATATAAATTGAGGCTTGAATATTTTAGAAGGAATTTTTTTAAATTTTTTTAATGAGATTAGGGAGACAGAGTTTTAAAAACACAAAAATAGCCTTCACGGTTAGGCAGCATTATGCATTTCCCCCGAAATTAATCTTAGGCTTGCGGCCGTTACTAAATTTGTCTGCATCTGGAGCGGTTGCTCTTCGTGTGTGCGAGTAACTTGCGTTTTTGGCTTGTGTGCTTGATTTTGGTTATCTGGAGGACGGGCGTCTCGCGCCAGCTATTTTTGGTGCCTGTGCGTCCCGAGCGGCTGTGCTGTGTGTGTGAATGGGCCTGTTGCAGACCCGCTCTTCTTCTCGTTCGTTGTCTTATCTTATCGTCGGCGATAAAAGTGAGCGAACGAGTGAGGTGCGCTGCCGCACCAACTCCTCTTATGTCCCTGGCTGCTTTTGTGGCTGCTGCCGTTGTAGATAGGCCCTCTTTTCTCTTCTCTTTTTTTGTGCGCGCGTCAGCAGACTTGGTGGCCCGCGGCGAGCTTACGGGATCTTCTTCTCAGGTCGGTCTGCTTCTTCAGTCGCCGCGATGCAGCTCTCGCGTGCGGAGCAGCCGCTGCTGAAGCCACGATGAGTTCCTCGACCGCCGGCCGGACGGTGCCCAAGCGGCAGCTCTCCCGCGAGACGGAGCAGCGCGTTCGCCATCTGCAAAGGGAGCGTCAGAGTCAAACGGTGGCCATCCGTCGCAAAGCCACCCCCACCTCGATCGCCCCCAACCCCAAGGCCGCCCCGAAACGGACGCCCACCTTTTCCGGACACGAAGCCTCGGAGGCCCCACCCACCAGACCTGCCAGGAAAGTCCTGTCGGTCAGCGAAGTGCAGCCGGACGGAGCGGCCGCCGTGCCGACCCCTGTGCTGACCCCTGCCAATGCCACGGGTGCCACGCCCCTCGGCCTGCCGCCGAGACACCCTCCCGAGGGCAACAAGCAGGTCGGTGCAGTGAGGACAAAGGTCAAGGTCTTGTCCGTCCTTTGGTTGTCTGTCTTGTTCAGTGTGAAAGTGGAGGTTCGTTCGCCGTGGCGCGGTCGCGTATAGAAAGAAAGAATTCGGTTCGAAAAGTCAACCACTTTTCTCGGAATTGTGTTCGTACATCGGAACCGGTTTGCGTCAAGCAGGATAACATTCTGCGCGACGTCTCGTGTGCGAAAAAAATTAAAATCATCAGTATAGCTGGATTCAGTCGAAAATTCAGGGGTTTGTCCGGGTTTAGAAATTTTTTTTAACCTTAAAATAATTCATTCTGATCCATTTCTATAAATTCCATTTTTATTTCAGAAAATTTCCAGTTCAATTATAATGGTTTAAAAACAAATATGAATTTTTATGAATCAGATTTCTAATTTATTTAAAAATAAAGTTTATCACTTTGGATAGTCGTCAATCTATAGCTTCATTATTATGAATTTTCTTTATGATATTTTTTATTGCACTTTCAAATTAAATATTGGCCGATTACGTGTTCATTTCGTGGTGCGACAGAGTTGCATTTGCCTGCTTGCCATGGGTAAATCAAAAGTGGGCGCGATGATAAGCCGTCTTTATCTGTCGGTTGCTGGCTGGTGTCGCACGCGCCTCGGTCGATTAAATGCCGTGTTTGTTTTGCTAGATTTGGGAGTAATTGGCTCCGAATAAGGAAGGAAGCGTCCCATTGTATGCAGATAGTCAAGAAGCAGCTCTGATGATTGCTTAATTGCGTCCCACTCGCGCACACTCGTTTTCGGAAAAGCAGTTTCACTGATGCGCGCGCCTTCGCCCGCCGCGTCGAGGGCGTTGAACTTTGCGAATTCCGCTCCCGAAAGAGGTCAATTCCACTTGTATACGGAAACTAAGTCCTCCGGAAACTTCCTACCCATCTGAGAGTGGGCGATATATCGTTATCAAAAATCTGTGCGCGTGCGGAAACTCACTACCCTTAAAAATCCACAATAAATTCTATAAAAGCTGACAAAAATAATAATAATATTTTTATTGTATTGACCATAAAGTAAGAGTATTTATTTAATTATTATAAATGTTTCAATTATATCTTTAAAGAAGCAAAATAAATTTTTGAAATACGAAGAATGGGTTCGGAAATGCATAACTTCTTCAGGGTATATAATATAATAAAAACAACTTTCATTAGATTAAAAAATTATAATTACATTAAATAATACAAATAAATTTCAATGCCTACAAAATTATTATTATTATTTTATCTGTAGAGACCACATATTTATTTGATATATTTAAAAATTAAAACAATACACATGTCATGAGTAAAGCCTTTAGAGAGTGGCTTTTTGTATTTTTGCATTTTTTTATTCTTGCTTGGAACTAAGAATAAAAATTAATAACAGCTCGAAAAAAGTTTCTGTCCCAAACAGCTTATGCATTTCCTTCTTTGCATATTTCAATTATCTTCCAAGAATTATTTATCCTCCTTTAAAACTATTAACAATAACTGATGAGCGTGATGAGTTTATAAAATTTAAATACAAATAAATCATTTTCAATCAATAAAAAAAAAATACAATTCAGAGATATTTTTTCTAACTGAAACATTTAATCACTTTTGATCAACTATAGGTTTAAAAAATATTCCCACTCTCAGATTAGTAAGTTTCCGGGGTAGTAAGTTCCAGGGATTCGGTCACTCTCCCGGTGGTCACCGAACTCGTCACTTGAATTAGGTCATAATTGTCTAGTCGGCATCTGAGGGAATATTGGAGCTTTTGTTTCGCCAAAATGGCGCGCGGTTATTTGACCCAGTTTTGTTCACCGCTGTATTGGCTAGAAAGAGCAGCGACTCGCGCGAGAGAGGCATGCACCAGTAATCCCGCAAGCGGCGCGCTCAATGAGAGTTTAATTAATTTCGCCACCGGTCACTCGTCCGAGACCGCAGAGGACATTTTGCTCCCTTTCTTATTCATCACGAATCGAGTGTATTTGAACGTACATTGATTGGCCCTCTCTCGTAATAAAAGAGGCATGCGCGCGCGATCGGAGTTAGTTGGGAAATGAGAAGCGACGAAGGCCCTCGGCTGCACTTTGGGCTGCATGAATAAGACATCAAGGCGTTCTTCATTGTTGGACAAACAGGCGCATAATTATTTAGTTGGAGCACTTGTCGTTGGCGCCCGCCGGGTCTCGAGGCGATGAAAGCGAGGGTGCTTCGTCTCGACGACTGACTTCGTTCCACCACGTTAAGGCTAGCTGAAATTAACCACTGCAAATCGATGCTTACAGAATCAGTCCAACTCATTAAATCTTTGTTGATTAAATTTTATAATTAATATTAAATCACTTAAAATTTTTTTTGCCGAATTATTTTAACCGCACTAAAGCGGGGAAATTTAAAAAAAAAATATAATTTTCCTGTTTAGAAATTTGGTGTCCTTTTTGAATTAAATTAATATACATATTTCAGTATTTTTTTTATTGTTATTAACTTTTATTATTATTCTTCGGATAGTGCAAATTGAATGGGCAATGCTTCAAAAAAGTAGAAAGACAGAAAATAGTTAGCTCGAGCAAAATTTCATCCACGTTTCATTGTTTACTTCTTATCAGTGGCGCGGTTTTGGCATTCTAATTTGCAGATTGCGATTTGCCCCGCAGATTCTTTAGAAAAAGATTAGCCCGCAGATAGGACAAGGTTTAATTGCTAATTCCATTAGTGCTTCCGCATTGCTGGCGCGATTGTCTCCATCGGACGAACCACTTAGTCGATTGCACAACAACGAGGCTCACAAACGGTTGAGGTCAGTTGGTTTGTTTTCAATTGCGCTGAAAAGGCAGAGCGTTAAAAGCGGCCACTGGAGGTTTTACGAGATGCGCGCGGCACAAAGAGGGCCGGTCGACCCGACGATCGGACAAGTCAACGTCAGTCACTCATTCTGCTCTCGCGGAGCCGCGTGCTGTTTACGCGAGCTGGAGCTATTTGCGGACTCATTTGTGTATAATAAGCAGTACAAAAAGCTGCCGGGCTTTGCAACCTGGAGCGGCCCACGATGGCCTAATATTTGTGTCCACCGGAAAATGGAAAGAGTTATGAGGGAGGAGAATGAGGAAATGAAACCAAGCGTGCATGCTGTTTGCTCAGTCAATGCGCCCAAAGTTTTGATTTGATGCGTTGCTTACGTCAGAGTAAATTCATTTTTGTTTTAATTTCCCTCTGCTTTGGTAATTTAATTATAAAGTAACTTATTTCAAAAACAACCAACCACAGTAAATGAAAATAAGCATAGAAACGAAAAAAATCGGTTGCATAAATACTATAAATAGACATTTTAAAAATATGCGAAAACAATTTATGTTAAATATTATTTTCATTGCTATTTAATTACTTTGCCCCTTTTTGTTTGATATTCATTATTTATTTAAAATTTTTATCCATTAAAATTAGTCTAATTAAAATATTCACAATCCATAAACCAAGCTGGAGCATCAATTCAGGGCTAATTTTTTATAGAGCAAGAGTCAAGTTGTCAACCCTATATCGGCAGCGTTTAACTTTCCGTTTCTCGCCTCAACTTGCACTACTCATCTCGATCCCAGCTGCACAAGTTGCAACACGCGCGGCTCCCCGCGGCCGGGCAAGGTCGTCGGCGCGAGCACCGCCGCCTGGTCTCGCAGGTCGGATTAACCTTTGCCCTTAGTCCGTGGGCGTCACATGTCGAGTACTTGAGTACGTACGGTGCATAGAGTGAAGCGGGCGGGCAGGCGAGTCATCTCGCATTTGGTTGTCGAGCGAAGCGCGCGGGCGCAGCGGCTGCTGCTGCTCCTTGAGCTGCTCTCGCGCGTATTGATTCCAGCGAGCCGAGCAGAGAGTGAGCAGAGTGCCGAGCAGCATCGAACCTCGCCCTCGCCACCGTTCTCGCCCCGTCCGGTCCGCTCGGTTTTTCAAAAGTGAACCCACGGGGCCGCCGGCCGGCCTCCCCCAAGGCTGGATGTGGTAGGCCAACACGGCGTCCACCACTGGCCGCCCTTCCAGGCACCACCCCCGCGGGGTGGCCGCTGGGGGGGTGGTGCTCTCGGGCACGGCCACCACTTCTCGCAGCGGTCACCATGCCGCCGTCCCTCCCGGACGGATCGTCGTTCGCGGACGTCTGGTGAGCTCCTTCTCTTCTCAACCCCCCTGCAGTGCTCTATGGGTGGTTGATTTCCCTAACCCTGACCTGACTGAATATTGATTCTCAAATTAGTGAGACACAAAAAAAAATTACTTTAAAAAAATTTTGAATGGTTCCGAAAGATTTCGTTAGACATTTTTTAACAAAATTCGCAAAAAAAATATTAGTCTAGAATTTTGTAATAGATTTTATTTCTAACCACATTTTTGTATACCTCGAATGTATAAGTTCTATTGCAAGAAATCAAACCATGCGTGAAATTTAAGCCACCATCTTTGTCTCCCTTAATTAATTTGTCGATCACACCCTCAGCTTATTGTCATTCCGTGGAAATACTGAACAATTTCCCGCGCTGAATAGCTTCATTGCCAAGAATGCGTAATTAGAAAACACGGCAATTTATTTATTTTTCATAATGCACTAGCCTGTAATCCGTGCGACCTTCTTCAGAGCGGAGGGAAAAAAACAAACAGCAAATTTCCTCCATGCAGCGGAGCACGTTCGTCTTTTTTTCCATTGTATTCGGAGCTGGAGTCGGGTTACGAAAAGATAAACTCGGCGCACGCAGTTTTAGAGAAAAAAAAACGGAAGCTCGCTCCAGAGGAAAAATCTTTGCAGTCCTCGCAACTTTGGCATTGCGCAGCACTCGCGTTTATTATTTCAGCCCGTTTTATGTCTTGACTCGAGTGTATTTTTCTTTTGGGCCTGACGCACCTGCCCGCCGAGCAGCAGAGGTCTCGAATCAATACCACTCTAATTTAGCGCCGCGTTTTTCATCCAATAATCCTTTTCGCACTCCAGCAGCAGCACATGCAAATTAGTGAGGCGCGTGATCAAATCGCCACCCTGCCGCGGCATTATCTTTGCCCGATTATCTCTCTTGGCCGCATCATCCGTATTCATTTGCGCTTGATGCAGATGAGCTCTTGACTGTGCGCGCGGCAAGGTCGCGGCTGGAACAAAAAACGGCCGCACTTCCTGTGCGCACCGCCAGAATGCTAATCAACTGACTTTTCGCACCGACGTCGGCACCTGCATTTTCTGGCGTATTTTTGACGGCCTCGCATGAATACAACACCCGCCACCGATCAGCAATCAACGCGAGCCGAAAATAAAAGCACGCGCGCCGAGGGAAATATTTTGGCGTTTCAGCAGAAAGAATGCTCGTTTGAAACTTTGCTGTGAAGTGATTGAGAATAATATGATCCGTGGTTTTGCTAAAAATTGTTTTTTGGGTCAATTCAAACGCGCATTACAATCCTTTGAGTAAATGTTGTCCCGTTAATAAATTAAATATTTTATGATTGACTTTGAAATAATTATTTTATATTTATTTATCAACGACTACAATTTTAATTCTTTAATTTTAAGAATTCTGATAAAAATTAAGTTAGGAAGTAACTTGCAAACCTTTTTTTACCCAATGACTTTTAATTTACACAACCAATATTCTTGATTTGTGCTTGGGCCTTCATGGGTATGAAGATGATATTAATATATAATAATATCTTTGTCATTTCCAACGTCGACATAATAAATTAAACCTTTCCTTAAATTTATAAATTTATTCTGAATTCTGAACATATTTGGCCGTGTTGTTAGTGGTGGGTTATCCTAATTTAATCTCAACCAATGTGGATCTAGCAAAATGAATATTTAAACAAAAAGATAGATCTAATTATTACCCACCGTTCATACATTTTCAGTAGTAAATTCAGGAGCCGGGTAGAGAATTTGCACGATCGCCGCGCCGAACCTAAAAGCCGTTTCGTGTTTTTACCTTTTGCGGCTGCAATAGAACGAACGGGTTGGTTTACGGATTGTACTACGTACTGTATGCACGCAAAGGGCACTTTGCGGTTCCTCCACCACAATCATCGCAGTAGTCAGTCCGACTGCGTCCCCAGCGACCGGCTCGCTAGCTGCCTGGCTGGCTGACCCCATAACTCAAATAATGGCCTGTTTTTTCCCATAGCATACCACACGGAATTTGTTTGTCTCCTTGGCGCGTTATTCCGAATGTGCCAAAGTTTGCTCGCAAAAGCAAATGACCCATCGAACGGTGTCCCTATTGTTATGTCCGCGACTTAATTAAGGCAACACATGAGCAGGAGACGCTTTTCCTGCAGTTGCTTCAATCGGTCGCTTCCGCTGACGTGAAATCAATCGTCGGTTCTTTCTATTTCTCTCAATCTTCTCATTGACGGTGCACGCTGACGTCAACATCACACAACGGAGCTTCCTTTGTTCTACAGCTCTCGCGACATTTTCGAGCCAATTGCGCTGTTTTCTTTCTCTCACTACCGCTCATACACATGCAAATTGACGAGTGCTTTTTCCTTTGAGATGCGCAGAAGATGGCATGCAGTTTTGTTATTCGTTAGCTCCGACCGACCCCATCCTTGATCCCATTCATTGTTAGAAAATTACGGCCAACTCGTTCGCTCTGTCGTCAATAAGCCGCGCGACAGCAATCAGTTTCTTTGATGTTATCTGCAGTGATAAAAACCGCCAGCCGCCTTCAAAGATGACTAATTATCGAGAGCAATTGCTCATTTCGCCGTGATTTTAAAAAAAAAAAATCAGAAATTAAAACTAGTTTCTAATTTAAATCAATTGCCTGAGAGGGTTTAAATTCTGAAATGTTTATGTCAAGATAAGAAAGTAGGAAACTTTATTTTAAGAACAAATGTGAGCTTGCCAAAAGAAGGTTTAAACTTTTAAAGTGGTATCGCTAATGCCAAACTCTACCAAATTAGGTGCGCATGGCCTACTTGCGGCCGTGTATTTATTGTAATGACACACGGCTGCAGGCAAACCGCGGAATTCACCGCCGCGGACTAACTGAAAAAGAGGAGGCAATTAAGAAAAACGTGCCAATTACCCTGCTCGAAACGACCGGATTATGATACATAATAATCGTTTGGTGCTCCACTTAGCGCGCCTGCCGCACTTTCGATGATTTTGTTCTTTGTGTTTATGTCGAAAGCAAGACGAAAATCTTGCATTTGTTTGCTCTTCTTGACTGACCAAGGTTTATTTGGAAATGTTTCAGGCGGCGGACAACACGACGCCGCGCGTCGCATCCTCTCGGAGCCGCACCTCGGATGAGCCGCACATCGGCAAGTACAAGCTGCTCAAAACCATCGGCAAGGGAAACTTTGCCAAGGTCAAGCTTGCCAAACATGTTCCCACTGGCAAAGAGGTTTGCTCGGATCCACCCCTTTCTGAAATTGAAAGTAACGCTTTCTTGTTGCAGGTTGCAATTAAAATCATAGACAAAACTCAGCTCAATCCTAGTAGTTTACAAAAACTCTTCAGAGAGGTTAGAATAATGAAAATGCTGGACCATCCAAATATTGGTAATAAACACTCAACACCGTACAAGTGCCACTTAAATGATCTCTTTTTCTCTCTTATCAGTTAAACTGTTTCAAGTGATTGAAACAGAAAAGACTCTGTACCTGGTAATGGAATATGCCAGTGGGGGAGAGGTGTTCGACTACTTGGTGCTTCACGGCAGGATGAAGGAGAAGGAGGCGCGCGCCAAGTTCAGACAAGTGAGATTAATCTAATTTTCCAATTGACTTGAACTCAAATCACTCTTTGCCTTGCAGATTGTGTCGGCTGTGCAGTACTGCCATCAAAAGAAGATAATTCATAGGGATCTGAAAGTGAGCGCAGAAACTTCAGTTCTTTTTCCTTATTAATGCCTTTTTCCCAATCCCAGGCTGAGAATCTACTGCTGGACAGTGAGATGAACATTAAAATTGCGGACTTTGGCTTCAGCAACGAGTTTACTCCCGGAAGCAAACTCGACACCTTCTGTGGCAGTCCTCCCTATGCTGCCCCCGAACTTTTTCAAGGTAATTTATATATTTTTGTTTAAAACCAGATGCTCATTTTATCTTAATTACAGGAAAGAAATATGATGGTCCAGAAGTGGACGTGTGGTCTCTTGGTGTGATTTTGTACACTCTGGTGAGTGGATCGTTGCCTTTTGATGGCTCGACCCTGCGAGAGTTGAGGGAGAGGGTGCTGAGGGGCAAGTACCGAATCCCCTTTTACATGTCAACCGACTGCGAAAACCTGCTTAAGAAGTTCCTTGTCCTAAATCCAGCAAAGAGAGCATCGCTTGAGGTAATTCACTTTCCTCTTTTGGCACCTCCAGTGCACAAATCTGTGTGTGTTTATAATGCTTTCCAACTGCTTCCCACCAATTTAAGGGGCCATTTCACCCTTGCCAATTTAAAATACAATGTTTCTCACAAGCACTCCATTCTCCCCTTCTTTCTCTAAAGTAACAAGATTAAGAAGATTTTTTTAAATATTAATTCAACATGTTTGAATTTCTATTTGTTGAAAACTCTTAGGCTTGATGCTTTCCAATGTTGCTGCTCCCTTTTTTAATTTTACACCCCAAATCTTGCAACATTTCGAATATAATTATTACTGTTGCTTTTCCTGGGTGCGCACTGGCTATTGTGAAAAGTACTTGTGTCCAAATCCAGAGCCACACGAAAAGCAATATTAGTTTTGTTAAACACTAATTGGGGGGCAGTGGAAAAGCGGTGACATGTTGGTGACCCCACAGAACATCATGAAGGACAAGTGGATGAACATGGGCTACGAAGAAGATGAGCTCAAACCATTCATCGAGCCAGAGCCCGATTTTAAGGACATCAAGAGGATAGGTACTCCATCTTCAGCTACCTCTGCATGCGAGAAAATGCGTGTGACTGCAATAGCAAGTGAGGAGGCTAGAGGCAATTTGCAAATTTTCTACTTTCTTACAATTATTACCCTTTGTTTGTTATCATAAATTTTGGTTAAAATTTCAGTTGGTTCTTGTGCATCGTAGTGATGGATCCAATCCAATAGTGATTGCTCATCAGTTGTTGCGTTCGAATTTAATTTAATTTTCAGTTCAAGTTATTGTACTATCTTAATTTCATTCAGTGTATTATACTCTGAAAAATTTGCAAAATGTTTAGTCAATGTGTGCATGAGAGTAATGTGTGCTTGTAGACAAAAAACACTTTACTTCACCTCCCTGTTTGAGCACTTTCTAACCAGCTTCTTTTTGCAGAGGCACTTGTGAATATGGGCTACTCTCGAACTGAAATAGAGGACAGTTTGGCCAATTGTCGATACGATGATGTGTTTGCAACGTACCTGCTCCTTGGCCGAAAAGCCACTGATGTAAGAAAAAATTTGATTAAAACTTGGAAAAAGCATTAAATATGATAGGAATTAATATTGTAAAATAATTGCAGCCGGAAAGTGATGGCTCAAGATCAGGCAGTTCGCTGTCGCTGCGCAACATTCCACCGGCAGGTGCGACGTCAACACCTGGTGCACCAGCCAACAGCGCGCAATCACCATCGCACGGTCATCGAGGAGTGCACCGATCGATCTCGGCCACCAACTCGAAGCCTAGCCGGCGAGCATCCTCAGGTGGAGAGAGCTTGCGTGAGTCTCCTGCAGGGTCCAAGGATTCCACGGCTGCAGCAGCCACACCCTCTGGTGGTGGGCCGACCTTTTTTTCAATTTTTCTAAAGAGTTTGCTCTGGTCGGCAGGCCCTGGTTTTTTTATGCTCCCAAAATTTAAGATCAACCAGATTGAGATTTCTCTGTTCTCACTTTGCAGCTAGTTACTGAAGCCTTTTGGTGTTGAATTGAATGGTGCTGGTTATGTGCTTTCTTGTCAGATAGAGCTCTGTGTAAAGAGCCAGACATTTCTCTCTCCATTGATCAAGCTCTATTCTTTCTATTGTTTTTAGTTTGAGACGCATAATCAAGGCCAAAGTAATTACTATCGTTAGATGTTGACAATTTTTACAATTCACTACCATTGATTCAGTGTAATGAATTTTTATCGTCGTCTTTTTAAAGGCCTTTGAACCTGGAGACTTCATGTAGCTATATTTATAATTATCATTCGATGTGTCTCATAATTATGCCAGTGCCTGCTGATACAAGGGCTCTGTTTGTTTGTAGTCTTGTAGATGTTTTGTGTTGATAAATAGACTAGTCAATGAAGTTTCAATCAGTAAAAAAATAGCATGAGACTAGAGTGTAAACAGACTAAAATAGTAACTAGCTTTATAAACTTTCAAAATTTATTGCATGCATTATCGGATGGTTTCAATCTGGGCTCTATTCAAATGTTATGAAAATTACTTGGATTTATCTATAACATTCATGGAAATGCAGGTGCTCCAGCTCTTACTCCTGGAACAAACCACAACCATTCTGCAGTCACAAGCAGCAACTTTAAGAGGCAAAACACTGTTGACTCGGCCACAATCAAGGAGAACACAGCACGTATCAACTCTGCTTCGGCTGCTGCCTCAGGAACTGGCCGACCATCAGCTGCCAAAAGCACTGTGTCCAACATTCCAAGCCTGGACACTTCAGGTACAAAAACAATTGATAAAATTTATTAGAATTAATTTACATTCTTTAGGCAACTCAGCAAGCCCAAAACCTCGAGGAGTAACCAAGTCAAACACAATGACTGGGAACAGGTCCCTTGCAGCCGGTTCCGTTGGCCGGCGTAGCACCATCAGCTACGAAGCCAAGACTGCCTCAACCGAGAAGACAAACGCGGTAGGCGGTAGTCTGGCAGACACCCCTAGGTAAGTGTGTTCCTTCCAATAGATTTAAATTCAATTGCTAAGATCACTCAGGAAAACCGCCAATCATGTAAAATGCTCTTTGGCAAGTTGAATTAATCATGGCAGTGTGTTTGTCCCGCCCGCTTCTGGTGAGACTTGCAGGTCTTGCATTTGCGCGCACACCCCATTGCTATAGTTGTTCAGCACGATCCTAGCGCTTTTTTCTTAAGTTGAGTAATTTTTATTTACAAAACATCCTCATAAAGCGGAGGCATTTTACATGTGTTGGCGGAATTAAAGAAAAAATTTAAATAATCATCATGCCACGGATTTACTAATAACCTCCTTATTAACTATCAACCAAAATTAACACTCACTCTCTATCTCTCATTTCTGATTTCTCACCTTGGTTTCTATCGCTTTTCCTTTCTTTGATTACTGCCACTAACTTCCATCGAAAGGAAATCAAAATCCGGGTCCCCCACACATAAAGCAAAGCAATCATGGAGTAGGATTTGATGGTGTGTTGTTGTTGTTTTGTGCCAGCGCGGTGGCAGAGTCTGCTCCCCCCTTACCCCCGAGCAGGTCGGCCTCTAGGGGTCACGCTAAGTCTGCCTCGATTTCCTCTTCCACCGCCGCAAGTGCTACGGGCCCCACCTCTACGTTGGCAACCCGCGCCACCAACGAGCTAGACTCTTCCCTAGACCCCCTCAGGTCAAGGTAGTACCATAACTAAACAAAACAATCTGAAGCCAGCCCGCTCACAGGGATCGAATTGTCCTCCACATTTCTCATCCCGTCTTACCCATTTTTCCAAAATCCTGCAGTCATATCCACTTGGAAGTCATTCACTAAAAAGCAAGAAGTGCATTATAAGAAAATCCATTCATGTTTTTTTACCATTAGGGATCAGAGGAATTACTTTGACCTGCCGTCCTTGAAACTTTAGTGGCTTCTTTTGAGTTAGCTGCATTTGATGCAAACCCATAGATTATTGTGCTTCTTACAGTGGACCCAAGTGATTATTACTGCGCACCTCGCAAGGTCAGGTCTGACCAAGTGCAACTTAAGGCAGTCTCCGTTTTCAACATTTCTCACTCGAGTCTGTGACGCGTCCTAGCCTAGATTAGGGCGAGCAATGAAAGGCGGGGACAATAAATGCAATTGGCCAGACTGTTAAACTGAAAATTAAACCAAATCAGTATGATTAGGTGTATAATTTTGTATTCAGTGTTTCCTCATTACTTTCGTTCGATTTGAAAAAGTGTTTTTCGATCTGGACGACACTCCAGTTTTTCTGTTAACTGTTTCTTTTGCCACGCAGCTATCTCTATTTCTCTTTATTTCATAGTTCAACTAACTGTAGCTTTTCTTAGTTTTGTTTCATTCTTTCCCTCTCTTTCCTCAACATCCACCAACCCTTTACCTGAACAGACGTTTTAACAATTCTGGATGTTTGGTATGCATTCGTTTTTTGAAACTGAACGATGCATGCGTATGGCATGATTATTTACCCATACATGATTATTATTTGATTGATTCCTGATCCGAGCGCTAGAATTAGTTCTTATTTTTTTTTTTTTTTTATACAATATTATTCATAGGCTAATGCACTCTGTTGGTCACCGATCGTTTAGTAAATTTTGCATTGTATTTTTCGATTGCTCTCTCGCTTAAGCCCCTTACTTATACTTTTTACGCTAGTCGAAAGAAAGCAAGTAATGAGTAGTTGGAAGGCGGCGTCACGAGGGAGGACCTTCAGCAGTGCTCAGTCCGCTTGTTGCATGCGCGACACTTTTGATTATGTTGGTGTTTTCTGTCGTGTTGTCTCACAGCTCGAACCGCACCCCGGCCTCCCCTGCCGCCAGTAACCGCCAGCCGTTCCCCAGGAATGTGCCGAGCCGCTCCACGTTCCACTCGGGCCAGAACCGGCAGCGCAACCACGCGTCCGGCGTCGGTGGATACGGCCCAGGTACGCCGCTGCAGTCTCAGGACACGTCGGCCCTTGGACACTCGGCGAGGACCTCCTTCTTCTCGAAGCTTTCCTCTCGGTTCTCCAAACGGTAAGCAGCATAAAGTTGTTACCGTACCTCTGAGACAATTCTTTCAATTTTGACGTTTGCCGCTTTTGTAGTGTTGCTCCAAAGAAAAACGTCTGTTTTTCAATAACCGTCTCTTTTTTCATATTCTGCACTAAATTTGTCCAGTGGCGTGAATTTAATTTAATATATAGATTTTACATCAAAGTAAGGTATTTGTTTTTAACTTGAAATAATTGGCACATTAAAACTATTAGTGAATTATGCTTTTAAATTCTAACTAAAAATGTGAACTTGTCAATCTTACTTTTTACATTCAAGGAAATTCAGTTTGTAATCATAGCATTTTTTTAAAGTTAAAAAATTAAATTGTTGCTTGTCTTTTTTCCGCGCCTCTATGCAAGTTAGCAGAATTTTGACGGAAAGTTGTGTTTTTCAATATTATTATTTTCCTTCTCTCTTTCTGATGGACCGTCGCAGCTTTTGAGAATGTTTGTCCGACCGCCCCGCCAAAGACGAGTCAATCAGACAAAACTGGAAGACGCTCGCAAAGTGGCTGTTTATCCGCGAGGGGCAGTTAGAATCTGCGCGAGTGTGCATGCCAAACCAGTCGAGCAGAGACTTTTTGATATACATGTTTTTATTTTTGCGCTGTGCCAGAGACTCGTCGTCGCTGCTTTACTCGGAATCAAAGTATTTTTTGACACTCCATCAATGTCTATGAAAATTAAATCAATAATTATTGATGTTGATGAGAAATTATGAGACGACTATGTTCGCTGTCGAGAGTCGAGAGCATTATGAAATTAACCTAATTTAATTAATAAAATCAGCTATTTAATCAACGTCTGCCCATTTTGATTTGCGTCCAGTGCTCCTAGTATTGGTGTATATTTATATCATAAATAATAATGATGAGAGAATTTTCATCGCTTTGTGTGCTGCCTAATGTACTTTTTTTAACACTAATCAAGCGAGTGAATCGCATAATTAACTCAGGCTCGAGAGTGACTGCCATTGAAAAGTGACTGAAGACGTTTTTCCACTACTTTCTCTATCTCGTCTTCGAAGACTCGACTTTTCTTTCCTATAAATAGTTAAATCGTAAACTGTTGAAAAAACTCAAGTTTTAAAAGTAAAAGTTCTGACTGCGTGTGTGTGCTCGCTCGCGCTTCTCACCCGACTAAGTTCGATGCACACCCACTACTACTACATACTACTTCTCCTCTTTGTAAATCTGAGCGAGCCCGTCCGCCCCAGCAACAAACAGCTAGGCCTAAAGGTGATGCCTCCACTTTTTTTCCTTTTCTACTCATGGTAGACTACGTTCTTGTGTACCAATTATTAATAATTCAAAATGTTTTACCAAAAATTAACCAGAGCCCAGCAGGGTCCGTCTTTTATTTGGCCCAGAATTTATTCAAAACCTAAATTCGCCCCTTGCTGGGCCAAAAAGGGAGGTGAATTTTTTCGCTTAAATTTAATTACAAATATAGGAATTCAGACTACAATTTAATCATAATTATTGAAAAGCAATAAATTCCCTTCCTTTTTAAATTGGCCGTTGGCCCGCGCTCTTCCATTTATATAAAATTTTGCCCGGTATTTGAGGGTTGCTCAAAACTCTATACCCTTTTTTTAATTCTAAATTGGTACCAACACACTAGAAAATAGGTCCAAAATTAGTAAATGGCCTCGAACGCTATTTTGAGCAGCCTGCGGACGATCTGGACAAAATTGGGTTTATGGGTGGAAAAGCGCGGCCTCTTCTGTAAATAGCCCACTAACACCCATGGTGGCCAGTTGGCTCAAAATCTATTAGACGCTAGTCCGAATTACTGCGACAACTAACATTGTTGATCATACTGAAAACTCGCCAGATGGACACACCTCTAGGCCTGCTGTGATGTCAGTCAGCTTCTCTTTATATATCTCTCTCTTGACTTCTGTACAAAATTAACCTTTGAGAAATGAAACGAGAAATGCCACTTCCAAACGCACAAACCAAAACCACGCAGGACTAACCCTGATTTAACTAAAATTATTATAACCGGTGGTGGGAATGGACAGACAGACAAACAGAACGAAACGAGCTTCTGGGGCGGGATATTAATTTTCATGTGTTTTGCATGCTTTGAGATTGGGCTGTGATTGATTTTTGCTGTTTTGGTTGGGCCGTCTTTTGTATGTTTTCCTATTGTATTTGCTCTGCTGATGCCGCTGCTGCCGTTGGCGTTTTGCCGCTGCTGATGCTAATTTATTGCCTTGATTGATGTATGACCCGCTACATTTTTTGTTATCATTTCAGCCCCCTGGAGAGCACCGTCCCTAAAACAGTAGTTAGGTATGTTGTTTTTGGTTTCCATTTTTATTTCATTTTTTATTATTATATTCAATAGAGTTAGACAGGACGTGTCTGCAGATTAGAAAAAAAAATCGCAGCCTCCCTGATGAATTTTCCGATTTTATTTTTATGATTTCTCCCCACTGATGGTCATGAGTGTGACTGCTACTTTGCGTTTTAACAATCTGATCTGGTGTAGCATAATCTATTTTGATCGAAGATGTTTTGTCTAAGGCTTCAATGGCTGATAATTGACTGATTTTAGCTTCATATTTCTTAACTCATTTTTTTTTACTCTCTCACTGGTGTTGTTTGATGTTTTGTAGTGACAAAATTAAAACCCAAAAAATTTCAAAAAGAAAAAAATGTACATTCAAGGCCAACAAGCAATTTAAGAATTGCGTCTTTTGTCAATATCGCTTATATGTGTTTTGCTCTTTCAGCCCCACAGCTGTGGGAAACGAGGAGCAGGTGAAACCAAGGTCGCTGCGATTCACCTGGAGCATGAAAACCACTTCGTCCCGAGACCCAAATGAGATCATGGCTGAGATCAGAAAGGTGTGTTTTCATACAATTATTAAGTAATCTAAATAAAAGCAACTTTAAATGTTAAGATAATAAGTTTTAAAATTTTCCCTCTCAATTAAATGTAAATTCAGACTCAAATTACCAAAAATTGGACATAAATTATTTTAGAATCATGTTTTTTAGATGTGCAGGTCTTATTGTATCTTTTTATTGCGTTCCTAGGTGCTGGACGCCAACAATTGCGACTACGAACAGCGCGAGCGGTTCCTCCTGCTGTGTGTTCACGGCGACCCAAACACGGACTCGCTGGTGCAGTGGGAGATCGAGGTGTGCAAGCTGCCGCGACTGTCACTGAACGGGGTGCGCTTCAAGCGCATCTCGGGCACCTCGATTGGCTTCAAGAACATCGCCTCCAAGATCGCCAACGAACTGAAACTGTGACTACCAGTGCTGGACCGAGAGGGTTTGGAGCTTGAGGAAGAGCTGGAGGAGGAGGACGAGGACCTTTCAGTGGCCTCGACGTCGTCGGCGCCGCCGGCCCGCCTCCACAGCAGCCACCTCTCCAAGCCTCGCAAATAACCACCCACCCACCTGCCCCGCCCCCACACTCATCTCGTCGTTTTCTACGTGGCCTTCTCTTCTCCCAAGTGTGTGGCAGTGCAACAATCAACTCCCTCACCCCTCGTGTTACTCTCTCCGGCGCAGGGGACGGGCGCCGTTTGTTTGTTTCTCGGTCCGGATCCACGTCGCTCCCGAGCTCAACCTCCACCACCCCCTACTCTTTCGTTTGGAACTCGCTTCTTAATTTATTCGTCCGTGCGGATCTTTCTTTGTCCACTTTCACTCCTTGAAAGTCGATGTGAACGTTTTGTAGTTTAACAGTGTCTTTTCTTTACTCTCGCCTATCCTCCCTTTTACGCAACAAGTGTTGGTTGAGCCCAAACTGGAGCCGACTGGATCTGCAGCTTCAGCAACAGTTGCGAATAATTGTTACTTAAAACACTTATAAGAAATACAATAACTCCGTGGTAAAATATGTTATCATTGCAAAAACGAAGATTTACTTCATTGTTCAGCAACACCAGACAATGCTACATTTCAATCTAGGAAGCAAGTCGTAAAATCAGTGATCGGGCCAATGTGCTTATTACTCGACGGTTGACACGAAGCGGATTTTTTTCATGTTCACCTGTACACTTGCGTTGATTTGGAAGCTCGTGTCTTTTTTGATAGCGTTTCAATCAATGTAACCCTCCGTCAACTGCCGGACTGCTCGCTCGCTCGTTCGTTGGTTCATTCTTTACACACTCGGCAACGCTGACGACATGATCAGTTTTTAATTTCTAACAAAACATGTACATCAACACACACAGAAGAAGCATGAAGCGAATGCGTGTTTGTGATAAAAAAATTTATGATGATGATTTGAGAGAAAGAGCAAAAAATCGTGGCAAGTGAAGTTTATTTTCAATCTGATGCACGAACGAGAACTATAAAAAATTCATAAATCTGTGTAACAAGAAAAGTTGCTTAAAAAGAAACAATTTAGAGAAAGAAAGTATTATAATTAGCTAAATTGTGGGTGCGTGCAAGATTGAAATTTCTGTGAGCGACTGACCTAATTTGAGAACCATTATTAATTATATGATTATTGCAATCGAACATCATCACTGTTATATTTGAAAGTAGTCTGATGACGGGAAATCTCAGTTATCGTCTTTCTGCTCTCGTATAGACACAATTGAATGTTTTCCTATCTGTGAGGGACATTTTTATGGAGCATTAGTTGAAGAATTGTCCCCTCAAAAAAATATGCCTGTACCCGATGCGGGGTAACTGCATCTGTTCATGGTTGCGTGCAGTTTTTGCCTGTGCATGGATGTACTTTTCTGATTTGCCAAATGAATCGTCGATGATCTTGTCAAGTCTGATACCGCATTAGTTCACGAGGCCTATCAACAACCCGAAAATTGGCAAATCGAGAGAGTCACAATCAGTTTGCAGCAGGATCCTCTATTTTTTTCTCTACTCCTTTCATTATATAATTATTATTTTATTCGTCTTTTTTACACCAAGAGATTTTTAATTACTTGAAAAGGGACTGTTTCACAATCACCATTGTTGATAAGGATTTGGTTCTCGATTTTTGTACCACTCTGGACTTGAAAGACTGCAAATCTGCATAACATGAAGTCCACGCATGGGAAGCAAACTCATTTAGTCACTCCTGATTAACAAGGGGTGCCTGAGACGGTGCCAAATGCAACTCGTCGGAAAGAGGGAAAATTGCCGGTCATTTGGATCCTTTTTCGTCTTGCGCCGAGTCATTTGGCAGTGACCTGGGCAGTTCCTCTCAAAATTCGTATTCAAAGTGTAGATAAGTGTACATTTTTTGTGAAAATGCGCCAGGAGTGTTTTTAACCATAATGTTGTGACGCATATCCTGGGGAGTAAAGTGAAAAAGAACGCGGACAAGGCCTGGTATGAAAGAAAGTCACTTCGAACGAGCAACACTTTGTAAAAATGAATGAAAAAAAAAATGATGAGGTTATACAAGAAAAAAAGATAATAAGCAAAACAATCTATTATTCAACACTCACACAAAATCACATACGGAATACACCAACAGTGCTTCTTGTTGAGAAATGATTTCAATGTTTCAATATGATTATTATATATCTTTGTAGATACTTGTATCATACCGTCACCTGCCTCCACCACCACCCACTGTTTTAGAAGAAAAGATGCGACAAGATTTATAAATAGTAATCCAATGAACACTCTTTGTATTTCATTTCTTGCTTTTATTGCTGGAAACGCGCTGTATTTTAATTATCATAATTATTGCTGTGAAGAGCATTCTGGTGAAAGCATGGGAAAAGTATGACTGTAGTGTTGACTTTATAATAAAAAAGCGAAAATAATAATTATTACAAATATCTCGGCTATTTCTTCCTGTTAGTTAAGGACCTTTAAATTGGCATTTGCAAATGGCAAATATGCGTTTTAGGTTTTAGTGTTTTCTGGACAAAGGAACATCAAAGCCATAGGAAGGAGAACGCCAAGCTTATTTTAATTCGGGCATGATTTAATAAATTATTTGGATTTATTCTCGTCTAAAAATCTTGATATTTAAAATGTAGTGAATTAATTTTTTTTCTTGCCTTCTGCACCATTGCAAAAGTACCTCTCGTGTAGAGGCGAAGGTTTCAGACAGGACAAGCAGGAGGCAAGAAATGAAGGCCTTTAATTGTTTTGTCTATACTATGAAAATTTAGATTAATTTTGATTTAAAAATTGATTAAAATAGCTGCAGACAAGTAAAATTAACTTTTCCGCATTTTTTGTATTTGCCCAGAAAAATTAGTCAATTCAGATTAGACCATGGATATTTGCCGAGCTTTGTGGTTGCATTAACTCAAAGAAAATAAGGCTCAATATTTATTGGCTTTAGTTTTTCTGAATAAATCGAGAATAAAAAGAAATTGAAGACTCGACAATCTACAGTGTCACACCCTGTCTGCCTGCTGATTGATATTCTAGTTATAAAGGTATAAACATATTATGAAGTCAATCTGATATGTATCATTGTGGGAAAAATATTTTCCAAACTTTCGTCTATGCATCGTTTTTATTTCAATTCCTATTAAAAATAAAATATTTTACACTTAAGAGGGTAACTTATCCTAGCAGCTAGTCAAACTTTTTCAACCTCATCTCCCGGATGAAAGAAAGGTTCACAGGCCTTTCCATGTCATCATCCTCGTCTTCAGTTGACTCGTCCTGGCGACTTTCATCCTCATCTTCAGTTTCAATTTGGATCTCATTTTGGCCATGCTGATCATCAATCATGCTTCCTGCACTTGGTGCATCATTTTCCTCTTCATGGTCGTTGATATTGACTTCTTCCTCCGATGCACTATTGTCATCGTCACCACCACTGTTGACCAAATGGTTATTTCTACTTCATTCTGCTTCGGGAGCTTGGTCTTGCTCTCCAGAGAGCACTATCAGTTCAAAGTGAGGCTCAGCCGCGAAGCCTTCAAACCTGACAAACTTTTCGGGTGTCTTGTCTCAACCACCTCAAAAGGAACATCACGATGTTCTCCAAAGTCAAGTTTGAACGCGTCTCCCTTGCTCATGGCCACAAGTTGTCGCAGGAAGTTCTTCACAGCTTCTTTGGCCAAGTTTGCATCAACCTCCATTTCGGTGGCATAATCACGATCAGTTCAGCCACTTGCAGCTTGGCAACGTTCAACTTCACAAATGCACCCACCTCAACATCAACGTTGTCGAGCAACTACATGGGAGCGAACATGTCAAGTTGAGGGGATCCTGCATAGTAGCCGAGCAGTCCAAAGTGGGTTGGATCTCCAACAACTTTTCCAAGTCCATTGAGTTTAGACATTCTGATGATGGTTTCCTCTTCCTCGGGAATATCTTTGTGCTGCGGCGACCAAAATTCACCCAGTCAGCCAAAGCAGGGTTAAGAAGGATTTTGCCTCCATTGACAACTCCTTGGTGCTGCAGTTGGATGACATATGGGAGGGATGATCCAGGGTAAATTCTAAACGATCTGCTTAGATTGGGCATTTTGATTTGTTTCTTCCTGTTAGAGAAAGAGGGTTACTTATTGTTGTTAAAATTTTTAACGAGCGAAATACTTACAAACCAGACGCAGCAGCAGAATAACAAGAGAAGACAAAATGCAAATCGCCTCCAAGATCTTAACACACACCAACCTTCCTTCAAAATCTGAAAATTAAGGGTGATTCTATAATTATCTTCATCAAGGTCACGCGCATCACAAACAATTATGAACCTCGATTTATGTAGTTGTTTGAGCGCGCTCTCTGATTGGGTGCAAAAAATAATTACAGAAACCAGAACTCTTAGCAAAAATGCAAATTATTTCTGATTGTTGTGATGGGCGGACCTTAATCTTAATGCTCCATACTGCAGTTATCGAATAGCTAAGAGTTATAATACGGAAATTTTAGGTTGAAAAAGTTGGTATTTCCCCAGTCTCATTTCACAAGAAAGCGAAAATTTCTCGGTTTTATACGCTCGTTTAACTTTCTTTTCTTTTAAGTGAGCAAAAAATTAAGTTTACCTTTTCGGATCGAGTCTTCCGAAAGCACAAGTCTGCACTCTTCAAAGAATTTTCCAATTCAAAACGCTCTTCAGGCCAAGCCTCACTTGTCAACGCTTCTCGGTCTCGGCCACCTTTCGTTTTCGTCGTTGCTCCGCTCCGCTCTTTCCCTGGTCTTGTTGCCCAGCGGCCTGCGCTCTGCGTCTGCATCAACCAACGTTGGCATCAACCTCGCCCGGCTCGCCCAAGGCTCGCCCCAACGCTCGCCCTCTGGTGAGAGGCACTTTCAAAGTGGGGTGTACAACAAGGATTGTTACTTTTGAGCGAAATTTTTAAAAGCTGTCTGCTTGAATCGAAGCAAGCTCACATAAATTGGCCAAAAAGTGAAAATGTATCTTTATTATTTTCCGATTTGTTTTACAGATAACTGCATCACTTAGCATATAATCGACTGATTATTGTAATAAAAAATACCTTCTTCTCTCCTCTGTTATACCACAACTGATTCGCGTATGCGCATTACGCGATTTCTTCTACAAATCCTCAAATTCCTCAATAAGGAGCGCGTCAATAAGCGAACGCTGTGAATTCTTATCACTCGCTGGAATTCACTTCAGCACTCGTTCAGACTGGTTCAGGCCTGTCTCAGCACCAGCATCAACTACGGTTTCACTTACTGACCGGACCATTTCCGACCGTTAGTGTTTTGTGTTCTCTCAGGAATAATTGAAGTTCAACGTGCTGTGTCATCCAGATATTTCCGTCGGCCAGCCAACCCGTCGACTGTGGAATCCCCAGCCGCACCAGCATTTTACTACCCTATTTTTACCCTGCTCTAGCAAAATCAAAAGGTTGCCCACACACAGGACCCCACAGGTAATTTTGTGTTTCAACCAACATAAAATTATTGTTTATCCAGCTGCCATTTTCCGCATAATATGCGTACAATATGCAGATAAATGTAAAATGTATGCTTTTTATCTGCCTATTATTTGGATAAATTTTTCCGCAGCTAAATCATCGATCTGCGCATGATTGATGGCACAAATCGGTCTCATAATTAATATGCGTATGTATACGCTTATAAATTTTCAATAAAAGCTTATTTGTCGTCCGCCAACGTGCTTATTTTTGTGATAAAATAATTATGTATGTATTATATGATATTTAATTCAAAAAATGTAAACATTTTGTTATTTATTAGCCACATATGACCGACTAGACGGCGACGCTCTGCCGAATGCCGGATTCAAATAATATTATATAATTCATAAATACCTTCAGAGGCTTAATATAGCGATGATCGATGTGATTGAGGTTTCTGCGAATTAAAAAAAAAATTACGAATCACGCATTAAATTTTCTCCATAATAGGACCTCAAATCTCGCCGACATATATTCACTTCAATGTCTTTAAATATTCAAAAATTAAAGTTTATAATCATTGCATGCCCTCAATCATTTTATTGATTTTCTGTCATGTACATAAAAAAGTTTCAGAATTATCCTATTTTTATCTCAATTTTTTTTCTCTCCCGACAGTTTCTCTTGGCTATCGGCGCACCAGCGCAATACTAGCTATGGCGTCCAGTACCAAGTGCGAAGGTATGTGTTTGATTCAAGGAGTTCGGTTCCAAACTCCTTGGTTTGATTTGAACAATAATCTTATCTAGATCACCAATCTGTTTAGACCAATTTTATACATAATTTAATTTATTCCAATTTTTTTTTAGCAATGGTGAATAAACACAAAGGAACCCAGGAGCTTCGCAATGCGGCCCTGATTTTGAAGTCAAGCAAAATCAACTTGGTTTCATTGCAGGAGTTGTGCATGAGGAGCATTGCTCTGAATCTACCCAAGTTCTCAGCAGTCCCTGAGTGGATGTCTCAACTCCGTAAGAATCTATAATGTATTTTCTATATATATTAATATTGAAAAGAAATCTATTTTTAACAATAAGAGGTTAAAAAATTTAATTTGCTGAATTGCGCATGCGGAGTAAAATTATACTTTTTTTTGCAGCCATACAACTTCAGTCAGAGATCCTCATTTTCATGCAAAAACTGAACTCCCCTGTTGTCGATGCTGACACAAATAGGCATCAAACTTCAAGCAAGAAGTCCTTTCCTGAAAGATTGAAAGTTAAGCTTCCTCTGAGAGTCATTCAGCGGCTGATCAATCCCACCCTGACTGAATTTGACTTTGCGCTCTGCCCCAAAAAGGTGTGTTTCTTTGAGACCAACGGAGTGGACTTCAAGTTGCTGGAGACTCTCGCAAGCACCCAAAATGTCATTAGGAGAATTGTGGACCGACGCAGTCATAGAAAATATCTGCCTTCTTCGTGCAGCCACATCGTCCACCTGCTTACCAAATTCAAAAATCTGCAGCACCTGGACATGAACACCGTCAAGTTCAGTGACGGTAAAAGCAGATAATAAATGATTTATTTATTACTTAAATCTATATTTTGAAATTCAAGGGGATGTTAAGGTTCTGAGCAAAAGTTGCCTCAGGTTGAGAAGCTTGACCCTGGCAAGCTCTAGCACCCTCACCACAGAAGCACTGAAAAGCTTGAGCACCCTACCTTCATTAGAGAGTCTTGTGTTAGGCAGGACTGACAAAAAACACAGCAAAGAGACAAGAATTTCTTTTCAGAATGCTATCAACATCATACCTCGCCTGAAATCAGTCCGCAGTCTGGAAGACGGTGAATTATTCCCATACCTTTTTTTTAATTATTTTAGTTTAAAGTTTCAAGAATTTTGAGTGTTGTAGATTTTATTCTTCTTTATTTTATCTAGCTTATATCTTTTATTTTCGTTAGCAGATTCTTTTTATTTAGTACTCAATTATCGACATTCTCAATTTTAACAAGAAATTCAAATTATTTTCAGTTAAAGCTAGCCTACCTCTTTTCATACAAATTTTAGAATTTCACTTATATTTTATATTTTAGAACCTTGGCAAGGATATCGCCTGGAAATTCCCCTGAACCCTGAATGCACCTACAATTTGGAGGAACTCAGACATGATCTTCGTGGCTACTATGAAAAGTAAGATTGATTTTTTATATAGAAATTTTATTTTCAATTAAATTTTTAGAATTCCTACAATCCTTCCTAATTTGAAAGTTGTATGCATCAAGAACTTCTATGATGAGGATGAAGACAGTGACGATGATGAGGACATTCATTATCCTGCGCCAGAAATCCTCAACCAGCTCCCTCTCTTAACATGCCTTAAATTTGGCTTTGATGTAGAAGATAACCATGAATACCGAGAGTACCTTTCTATCCTTGGACCAAAACTCACTTGCTTGGAACTTAAGGATTGTGATCTTGATGACATAGACATTTTTAGCATCCTCTACCTCTGCCCTAATTTGCATTCCTTGAAGATGAAAGCTTACCTCAAGCAGGACAAACAATTGGAGGCCAACAAGGTTGATGTAAAACAGCTGAAGCTCCGAGAGCTTCACTTAAATTTTTATGAGCCTTCTGGTAACGAAGCAAACATTTGGAAACTCCTGCAAGCCCCTGAACTTGAAAATGTCCATCTGCAGAATATGTTTTTCAACCCACTGCGAGCAAAAGTGATCAATGAGCAGGGGCCAACTTTGCAGAGCCTCTCACACTTTCAGTGTGATATGGGAGTTGGATCTGCCCAGGTCTATGGCGAGTACATCAAATTTCTCATGAGCATTGTGAACAATTGTCCCCTGTTAGAGAAATTTAAGAGTTCTGTGATTGACTTGTCAACATCCGACTTTGTCACATTGACAGACATTACTCCTGGATTCTGTTGCAAGTTCATTGTCAAGCAGTAATAATTTCATGTTCCAATCAGGAGAATATTGCTTTCCTTGTTAATTTATGTCTAATTTATTTTGTTTTATAACAATTCAAAATGCATGTGCAAGAAACTATCCATCTGCGGAAAATATTATCCAATTCTGTATTACGAGCAAGGGTGACCAATGAGGGGGTAATTTTGCAGAAACTCATCCACTTTCAGTTTGGTTTGGGGGTTGGATCTGTAGGGGTCTATGGAGATTTTTTGAAGTTTCTCATGGGCATTGTGAAAAACTGTCCCTTATTGGAAACATTCAAGTGCGTACTGTGATCGACTTGCTAAACTTGCTAACACACCCCTTTGTCACAGTGACAGAAACTATTCCTGAACTCCGTTGCAATTTCTTCATCGAACAATGATAGCTTCAAGTAGGGAATCAAAAGAATTTTTTTTCTTGTTCATTCATGTCTAATTTATTTTGTTTTGCTGCTCACAATTTATAAATATATAGCAAGAATACTTAATTAATTGCAAGACAACGTGGCTTCTCCCAAAATGAGTGTATCAACAAAAATATATAACATTTTATTTTCGCAAATCTCCGAGGCATTGAAATTTGTTAAGCAGAAACTATGTTGTACCGTTGAATTTCTATTTCTACTATGCTGTGCTGACCAGTATGAATAATAAAACAAAATTGATAATTCTGTAATTGATAAATTTTGTTTTCCTTTTTAACTTCCGCCAATGCCCAACGATGGCAGCTTTAATTCAAATGTTTCCATCTGGCGCATCAAAAAATCACTGCGTTTTGGATTATAGTTGTGTATCTTAAATCAAGAACCTCTTAATTACTTTTGATAATTTCTAAAATGTACTTGGTGAGAGGACTAAGTGTTTAATTTTAGGAATTGATGTATAAATTCAAAAATTAGAATGCTTTTTGTTTTTATGAAAGACATTGAAAAGTACAAAATGAGTCAAGTCCGATTGGGGAAACTATTAAAGTTGCAAATAAACTTTTACAGTTTCTTGCGTGTCTGCATTTTCCAGCTCTGCAGCAATAACCTCCAGGGCCACTGCGTCCTCAACATGTGCGTCCAAGATCGGTTGGAACTGGTCAGGATGCTCCTTCATCTTGTGGTCAATCAAGGACCTCTCGGAAAAGTATTCCTTCCCGCACAGGTCGCACATCCAGGTGACCATGTGGCCCTTGTGCGCAGTCATCATGTGTCTGCGCAGGTTGTACTTTTTGAAGTAGGTGCAACTGCAGTGCTGACACGGGAACTTGACGCCCAGGTGTCTCCTGGTGTGCTCGACCAGCATGCTGCGCATGATGAACGCCTTTCCGCACTCGTCGCACTCGAACGGCCGCTCCAGGGTGTGCACCCTCATCACGTGGTAGTCCAGGGTGGACTTTTTGAAAAAGCGGCTCTCGCACACCTTGCACTGGAACCTCCTGTTCTCCTCGAAGTGCATCATCCGGTGATGGCGCACCTGCTGTTGGCTAGGGTAGTGCTTGCCACACACGTCGCACTGGAACTCCATCGGGTTCTGCTGGTGCGCCTTGATGTGCACCTGGAGGTTGTGCTTGGAAAAGTAGCTCTTCCCGCAAATGTCGCAAACAAACGGCCTCTCGCCGCGGTGCTTGCGCTCGTGGTCCTCCAAGGCCGTCCGACAGTTGAATCCTTTGCCGCACTCGACGCACAACGAGGGAAACTGGTGTGTGTGTTTTATCCGGACGTGGCTCCGAAGCTCGCTGGACGTCGGGAAGCGGCGCTCACAGTCATCGCAGCCAAAGGGGTACTCCTTGGTGTGCGCCACGACGACGTGCCTCTTCAGGTTGGCCACCACCTGGTCGCACAGCTTGCAATGGTGCCGCCGCACCAGTTTGCCATCCTTGTTTCGCACCTTGATCTGTTTCACGCGTTTCATCTCCTGCTCGTCCTTGTGCGCCTGCAGGTGACTTTTCAGGGTTAACTGGTTGCGCTGCACCTCGTTGCAGACGGTGCACGTGACCTTTTCGGGGTGCTGCTCGCGGACGTGCGCCTCCTTGGCCTCGGTATCTCCGACGTACAGTTTGCAGAAGCGGCAGCACTCGTGCTGGTATTCAGGCGCGACCACGTCGAGGTTCGCGACCCTGATCAGTCTGGCCACTTCCTGCGGAGAGGCAAACTGTTGGATTTCCTTCTCCACCTTTTCCTCCATTTTGGCCACTTTGGCGATCGAGCGCATGGCGAATTTGGCCGAGCGGCGCTGAATCCTGGCCGGAGGTGGTGGTGGCACCGTTGACGTACCAGCGGCATCTTCCGCTTTGACTGCGTCCCTGCAACAAAAGGAAGCAGAAATTTTCAAACGTTTTTTGTAAAATTAAAAATCCCACTTAATAAATAGCATTATTATTAATAATTTTGAGCTCTCATAAAATTTAAAATGAAAATAATCATTGGGAATTAAAATCAAGTGAAAGAAAAAAATGGCTTTGCTAAAATATATTGATTGTTCAATATATTGATTTGAAAAGTGTTAAAGCTATATATTACGCTGATGATATTGTGCTTACCTCTGAGAATTTGGAGGAGTTAAGAATAGCACTTGTTAGAATAAGAGATTTCCTTCTACTACGCAGTTTAAAACTCAATTTAAACAAATGTAAATTAATGAAATTTAGAAATGGGGGAAGAGGTAGATATGCGAAAACAGATCAGTTGTTTTTAGATGGAGTTGAAATTGAGCGAGTAGCTGAATTTACATATCTGGGTGTCATATTTCAATCATCAGGGATAGTATTTACCAAACATATTGAAAAAAGAGTTAGGGCTGCCTTATTCGCTACATATAATATTAAAGAACTGAATAATTTATCGACAGAGACTGCACTGAAATTGTTTGACTTAAAAGTTTCTCCTATAGCATCATATGGCATTGATATTATATGGCCACTCTTGTCAGTGGCAGATTTTGAAAAACTTGAGAGAGTTAAGACAAGGTACCTTAAACGGGTTCTGGGCCTCTCTAAATACAATAAATCCAGATTTACATATGAATTAGTGGATACTGATCTTTTTGTGTCTGACTTAAGAAATAAGTTTTCATTATCTGAAACGACTGCTTATAAAAAGTTCCAAGAAAATAAAACAATGAACAAACTATTAGGTATAAGAGATACTTTTTATGAGACTGAAACAATGAATAATCTCAACTGGCAACGTGCAATGTTTAAAGATCGATATGTTTTTACAAGATTTGCTTGCCACGGATATCATTATTTGTTTTGTGAAAATAAAAAGTTTCATTATGAAGCTATGGATGAATGCAAATGTGAACATTGTGGGGGGAAATGTGAGCAATACCATATAACTGAATGTCCCAATAAAAAGATGAGTCTGCGCGAAGCGGCCCATCAACGATATTAATGTGCTTGTATAGTTATAAGAACAGTCGTTTTAATAATATAGGAATAAATTAGCTACTTATATTTATATTAATATATTTATGTCATTTATGTAATCGCATATGTTGTACACCTAGTGTGTTTAATAAATACTCTAATCCTAATCCTAATTGTTCAAATACAAATTTTTAAAATTAAATTCTTGAAGATTTTTTATATGCTTCTTATTTTTCTTCATGATCGATTTTTACTTTGAAAATTCAAAAACAAACTGAAAAGTTAAGCAAATAAATTTGACTTTATACTTAACGCCTGCAGATTGCAAAGCTCGGCAACCTGCTCGACAGTTATGCATTGGGGTTGCATGCTTGAGCTGTCGCAGGCGTTTTAATATGTGAGCAATATTAATAACCATATTTTAATTCATAAGTTTGTTCATTCAAAAAAATATCCATACTTTAGAGCTAATTTTACACTAAAATACTGAGTTCACCCATACTGAGCTGAAAAAAGATTTGGTGGCAATTCCAAGAATGAGAAGAATGGCCGCCCAGAATAGAATAATCCAAAAAAGTAAATTCTTTTTACCATTTTAAAGAGCAGCCAAATGTGAGGTGTGAGTCATTTTATTTTTGGCTGGTAAAAAGCCCTTAAATTTTTTTAATAATAGAAGTATTGGAAGTATTATTGAATCGGTTAAATCTACAAACTTAAATCATTATTAAATGATAATTCCTTCTTCAATAATGTACCTATCTTTTTGTAGAAATAATAAAATGAAGCCAAAAAATAAGATAGTCTTATACTCACGATTTGCAAAAGATTTTTATTTCACATTGCTTTGTATTTTGCTGCTTTGTTTTTTATTAACAGTTTTGCAGCAGTTGAAATCTCCTGACAGTGAGAAATTAAATGATTTCCTAAACTGGTCCCTACAGGTGTGAATAACATAGATACTCGTATTTTTTATTGAAACAAAATGAGTAATTTATTATTGCAGCTGAGGTTGCCGAATTGCAACACTACCTTTTATTTCATTGCTTTTTCTTCATTACACATTTAAATAATTTAAAGAGAGAGATTGCGTAATAATGCTAAAATAACATCGGTAAGAGGAAAGCAATAATTCACACGTGCACCGGCGGCGGCGGCTGGTTCGGCGGCTGCGCGTGCACCAGTTGGTGCAGCCGCAACTCGGAGCCGACCTTGAACTCGCGGGTGCACTTGTCGCACTTGTAGGGCATGATTTTGTGCACGGCCATCTTGTGTTCCTTGACCCTGCTGGCGTTGGTGTAGGTTTTGCCGCAGATCTCGCAGGTGAAGGGTCGTTCGCCCGTGTGCAGCCGCTCGTGCACCGTCAACTTGTGTCGGTTGACGAATCGCTTCCCGCAGGCGGAACACGCGAAGCGCCGTTCGTCGATGCCCTGATGGACGACCAGGACGTGCTTGTTGCGGACGCTCCGCGTCGTGAAGCGTTTGCGGCAAATGTGGCACTCGTGCGGCCGCTCGCCGCGGTGCAGCAACATGTGGTCGCGCATCGTCTGCAGGGCGGTGAACCGCTTGTGACAAACTTCGCATTCGAAACCCCTCTCTCGGGTCGAGTCACGCATGACCCCGTGCACCGACTCGAGGTGCTCCCGGATGGCCTCCAGGGTCAAGAACCTTTCGTGACAAAACTGGCACAGCAGACGGTCCTGCGGGGCGCGTTTGGTGGCGCCACCTCGGTGGTGCGAGTGCTTGTGCATGTTGAGGCTGGACGCGTTGTGGTATGCCCGGCCGCACATTTCGCAGACGTAGGGCCGCTCGCCGGTGTGCAGCCGCTCGTGGACCAGCAGCGCCGCTGGACTGCCGTGGGCGCGCCCGCAGTGCTGGCAAACGTTCAGTTTCAAGTGTCGGCGTTGGAAGTGCTCGCGCATGCTGCGTCGCTTGAGATAGGGTTTGCGGTCGGGGCACAGGTCGCAGAAGAACTCGCGGCGGATTCGGACGTGGACGACGTGGCGCGCCTGGAAGTGGTCCTCGAGGTCGGACAGGGCGCGCGACACGTACGTGCAGTGCTCGCAGCGGTACTTGGGCGGGTGCCAGCGGTCGATGTGCGCGCGGCGGTCCGCGCTGCGCAGGGCGAAGCGCTGCCGGCAGAAGGGACACGGCGTCGGCCGGTTCGTGATGCGCTTGGCGTGCGAACGCAGGTGCCGCTTCAGGTCGGGCAGCGTGTGGAACGGCTTGAAGCACGCGTCGCACGTCAACGCGTCCAGCGCCACCACCGGCCCGGCCGCCTCCGCCGGCGGGTCTTCCTCCTTCAGCACGAAAACTCTGCAACAGCCACGTACGCGTTAACAACGCTCACCGCCAATTCATTCGCATGCCGCACTGCAAGCAGAGCGCCATTAAATCTGCTCTGCTGCAGCAAACTTTTTATTATTCAAAGTGCAATATTTTCTTCTAAGATTTTGATAAAATGGTCAATTTAAGATATGGAAATATTTAAAGTATAACTTTTTTTCTACACAAATTTTTGAAATTAAAGAAAGTAAATTAATAACATTTTGAATGATAGTGACTTCCTAATACTATAAACCACTTACAATACCCCATCCAGGATAAGCATTTTAAAAAAAAAAGTAATAATAGTAATAATAAATACTGAAATAAACTCTAGAATATTATATTTTTCTCAATTGTATTCATCTTCAATAAATTTATAATTGTGATAATATAATATCATTAAAAATGTTCATTTGTAATTCGATCATGCATAAAAAAATTAAACGCTTCAGTTCTCTCTATATTCTTAAAAAAAAAAATCTAAAAAAATCAGATATTGAATTAAAATTTTTGAAATTATGCCTTATCAAAAGAAAAAAATAATCAGGTTAAGTTTCCTAATAAAAAACTTGACTTTAATTTTAAATAAAAACAACATTGATGAAGTTTTGAGAAAAGATCGAAATAAAAATATTAAAAGATCATGTAACAATAGAAATTCCATTTTGAAATTACAAAAGTCAATTCCACAATTCCACTATCATAATTGCGCGTGTCCAAATAATTATAAATTATAAATCATTTAAAAATTTACAATTAGTAATTTTAAAATTCATAAATTTCTCTCTTCTCTCACGACAAGTAAACTTGATGGATGTAATAAAATTATAGGAACTATTGAAATTGATAACTCTAAAAATTCGTTTATTTATAATTACAATAAAATCAATAAATTACAATCTCAAAAAAATCCCGTCAGTCTAAAAATAAAACCGAATTTATTACGAGAAAAGGTCAATGTTCGACCATGTGTGTGAGCAGGTCGGTTTTCAGCTTGAACTGGCGGCCACACACACCACACTCGTAGGGCAGCACCTTGTGTCTGAGCCTCTTGTGCGTGTGCAGGTGCGCCACCTGCGAGAAGCGCTTTCCGCACAGGTCGCACAGGTGGCTGCGTTCGCCGGTGTGCGTGAGCAGGTGCCGCTTGAGGTGCGAAGTCTGCGGGAAGCGTTTGCTGCAGATTTCGCACGCGTGCGCCGCCACGTCCTTGGAGTGCTTGAAACTGATGTGGGCCTTGAGGCTGGAGCGGCGGGTGAAGGGGGCGCCGCACTGGTCGCACCGGAAGGCCTTTTCGCCGGTGTGTACGAGGTGGTGCGACGCCAGGTTGTGCCGCGCGTGAAACGCCGCCTTGCAAATGTGACACACGAATTTCTTGAGCTCGTCAAAGTGCGTCACTCGGTGGCTCCGAAGGCCCTTCAGGGAGGCGAACGTCTTCGAACACATGTCGCAGTTGAGACTCTCGTCCCTCTTCACGTGTTTCTGCTTCATGTGGGCCAACAGGTAGGCCTTGGAGGTGAACGCCTTGTCCGGACACAGGTCGCAGATGAACGGTCGCTCGTCGGTGTGCGCGCGTTCGTGGTCCGTCAGTTTGGTGCGCAGCGCGAACCGCTTTCCGCAGAAGCGACACACGAAGCGGGCGTCGTGCGTGGCGCGCACGTGTCGCTCGACGGCGGCCGCGCTCGGCAGGTCGAGCTCGCAGTGCGGACACCGCGCCGGCACGCACGTGCCGAGGTGTCGGCCGAGCTCGTCGGCGCTCTCGAATCGCGCCGGACAAGCGCGGCACGCGTGCACGAACAGGTGTTGGCGCCGCACGTGGCGCCGGATGGCCTCGAGCGAGTCATAGCGCCGCCGGCAGAAGTCGCACGTCAGCAGCACCTGCAGCGTCGAGCACACGTGGTCGCGCAGCGCCTGCTGCGAGGCGAAGCGTCGGCCGCAGCACCCGAAGCGGCGCCTGCAACACGACCGCATTTTAGCAGCTGCAACATTTTCAGGTGGACAGGCAAGCGCAAAACCAAACGGTATAAATTACAATGATATGGTGAGATTGCAAGTTACTTTTTCTTGTCTATTTATTTTATTTTACAGCTTTTGTCGCACTAACCAATTTCTTTCTTTTTTATATAAAAAAAGCGCAAATTATAACAAATATTTTTTCTTTTATAATTTTTTTTTTTACAGACAAAAGCTTTTTAAAAGTTTATCACTCGGTTTTACTTTTTACGCAGTCTAATTTTTTTTCAAAGATTTATTAAAAATCTAATTTAACAGTAATTTTATTTTTTATTTTTAACTGCCCCAAATAAGCATTTTTTTTTTATAAATTTTTTTTAATTACAATTTTTTTTAACGCTTACAATTAGGATTAATTTCAAGGAAACAATAAATTTCATTTAAAATAAAACGTTCAATTTTTGGGCTATGCAGAAAACTTTTGATTTTTTATTGAACTAAATTAATGATTTCATGATGTTAGTAACTCTACCAGGAAACTGAATTAGGTAATTATTATACATAATAAATAATTAAATCACAAAAGAGTGCTCCCTCTTGGGGCCTCTTTAAGACATTTTATGAAATAGTATTAAAATAAAAATTTAAAATACGTCAGGTTTTTTAACAATTCATGGAGTTTAAGTTTAAGACAAAAATTTAGCAGAAACCCTTGATAAACCACAGACTGGATATCAAGGTTTGCGCATTACAACAACCAAAGCAGGTTCAGATTATTGAAAAGCGTTTTTATTGGTAAAAATTTAGCTTATACCCAATCAGATTCAAAATTGTTGCGATTGCGCAAACCTTGCTGGATTACATACAAAGCGCCCAGAATCTGTGAATTTGTTTCAATGAGGATAATGCGAGAAAAGTTTAGGACATAAATGGCACGGTTTATAAATTTTAAAAATCAATATTTTATAAGACTTGAACAAATCATAAGTAAAAGTTATTGATTTTTTTTTTTTTTTTTTTTTTTTTAAATAAAAATGCTTGATGAAATAAAAATTATGTGTACAACTTTGACAATTAAAAAAGGGCTTCGCTTCATCTAACAATAGGGCGATTCTATTTTAATGTAAAAACGCCAGAAATAAATATTGAGTAGGATAATAAAAATAGTAGAAATAAAAAAAAAAAAAAAAATGAAATTATTTAAAAATAAATTGCATCAAGATGAAATATTTTTCTTGAAAATTTACAATTTCAAGAAATATTTCGTTTCAACCGTTCATATATTTCATATACACTGATAAATCTATGGCAACAAAGTGTATCTGGGCCTGGACTTGTCGACCACGTAAATCTGGTGCACATCGACCGAGTGCGCGATGAGTTCCTTTTGGTAGCGGAAGCCGGCGCCGCAGACAGGGCAGTTGTGGGGCATGAGTTGGTGCTTTTTGATCTGGTGGTACTGCAGCTGGTGCTGGCGCTGGTACGCCTTGCCGCACACGTGGCACACGGCCGGCTTCTCGCCGGTGTGCGTGAGCAGGTGGCGGTTGAGCAGGTTGGGCGCGCGGAAGCGTTTCGGACAGTGCGGACACTGGTGGCGCTTCTCGACCGGGATCTGCATGTGCTTGCGAATGTTGTGCATGCGCAGGTTGGCGCGGTGCGTGAACGTCATGGCGCAGATCTCGCACTGGAAGGCCGGCCCGTCCAGGTGGGTCATCATGTGGTCGCGCAGCAGACACTTGTAGAGGTAGGAGATGCCGCAGAAGTGGCACATGTAGCGCCGCTCGGAGGCGAAGTGCGCGCGCCGGTGCTGCGTGAGGAAACGCACCTCTTTGCCGCACACGTCGCAGATGGCCAGCGCCTCCTGGTTGTCCGTGTCGCGCTTCTGGTGCTCCTGGTGGCGGTGCTCAGCCAGCAGCCGCCGCGTCGCAAAAATCAACCAGCATTTCTGGCACTGCCATCTGCTAACAAAGCGTACCCACGCATCAGTCATTGTGGCAGTGAGGTGCGCCAGTTTCACATACCAAAAGTTTTTCACTCTTCTATTTTAATTTCAAAATAATATGTGCATTTTGTATACTTTGCTATTGCAACAATCTAATTCATCTTTAAATCATATTTTATTGAGTAAATGTAAGTTTTTAACTAGTGACTTTGTAAAGGGTCGCGTTTTCAGTCAGTGAATTAACTTTTTAAAGATCGGCTAGGTACATAAAAAATCAGAATAAAATTTAAAATTTTATATAAAAAACATCACAATTATAATTTAAAAATATTCATCCCCTTTTAAATATAATTTAGCTGCTTCATTTATACCAATATCAAGAAAAATTATTCTCTTTCTCTGCTTTGTAGATAGTGCTGATTCATGAGCAGCTCTTTGTGAACGGGGCATAGTTTGTCCACGTAAACTGATCGAATTGAAATTCCAGTATGTTATAAACCATATCAAGAGGTTTCCAAAAATATATAGTTTTGCCCCGATATCTCGAAATTTGCGGGTTTTACGGGACGTTCAAATTTGGATTTTGAAAAACTTTAAACGGCTGTATCTCGGCTTTCCGTGGTCGCACAAAGAAAATCAGGATGGTTTTGGAATCGTATTGTTGCCCTCTACAACTTTTCTTTGAGACGCAAAATCGTAGGTCACAGGTCAAGGTCACTTCCGGTGACCTCGTGACCTTTGACCTCAATTTTGAGAATTAGCCGGCACTTTTTTTGAAATTCTGAGATAGCCATTTTGTAGAACGGAAAATTTTACGTAAAATGAGTTAATAAAAAAAATGGGTATATTCTTTGTTTTTTTAATATTAAAATAGTAAAGTTAAAAAACGTGGTTTTCCGAGCTTTTCTGCTGATAAAACTTTTTTGAACCGCCATAACTTTGTTTCTGAGCGAGATAGCTCATAAGACCTAATGACAAAAAGTGTTTGTCTTGACACGACCTATCCAAATACGTATCACACTTAGTGACCAGGTCACAAAAGGTCATTGACCACGGTGACCTTTGACCTTGCAAAATTATTTCCATCAAGTATGGCACATGGTTCAAAAGAAGACATCAAGGCAATTATTTTGGTACCCGGAATTTTTCTGTAGCTCAAACAGAAGCTGATTTATCACAGTTTTTATTTATCTTCCCTAATAATTTTTGCATTTTAATTAGCAAAAACTGTGATAATTCAGCTTCTGTTTGAGCTACAGAAAAATTCCGGGTACCAAAATAATTGCCTTGATTTCTTCTTTTGAACCATGTGCCATACTTGATGGAAATAATTTTGCAAGGTCAAAGGTCACCGTGGTCAATGACCTTTTGTGACCTGGTCACTAAGTGTGATACGTATTTGGATAGGTCGTGTCAAGACAAACACTTTTTGTCATTAGGTCTTATGAGCTATCTCGCTCAGAAACAAAGTTATGGCGGTTCAAAAAAGTTTTATCAGCAGAAAAGCTCGGAAAACCACGTTTTTTAACTTTACTATTTTAATATTAAAAAAACAAAGAATATACCCATTTTTTTTATTAACTCATTTTACGTAAAATTTTCCGTTCTACAAAATGGCTATCTCAGAATTTCAAAAAAAGTGCCGGCTAATTCTCAAAATTGAGGTCAAAGGTCACGAGGTCACCGGAAGTGACCTTGACCTGTGACCTACGATTTTGCGTCTCAAAGAAAAGTTGTAGAGGGCAACAATACGATTCCAAAACCATCCTGATTTTCTTTGTGCGACCACGGAAAGCCGAGATACAGCCGTTTAAAGTTTTTCAAAATCCAAATTTGAACGTCCCGTAAAACCCGCAAATTTCGAGATATCGGGGCAAAACTATATATTTTTGGAAACCTCTTGATATGGTTTATAACATACTGGAATTTCAATTCGATCAGTTTACGTGGACAAACTATGCCCCGTTCACAAAGAGCTGCTCTCATACACCATAAATTTTTGTTCTAAATCCAATTACGACTAACAATAAGTAATGATGACTGCCTCAATTTCTTGAGCTCCATTTTGAACAGAATATAATAAAATCTCCCAAAGTCAAGAAATATGTCTGATAATGGAAGACGCTATTTTTTCTAAAATATCAGTTCAATCAATTTTTCTGTCATATTGAGCGTCAGAAAAAAAGAATTTTTTTTTTCAAAAATAATAATAATAATAAAGATTATACAATTTATTCTAAAATTGGATACACTTGCTACTTATTTCTTTATCTTTTAATAGGACCATGGACAGAAGTCTCAGATTGAGTTGTCATTTGTTAATTTAATATTTTGACCATTTTGACTTGAAACTGTATACAATTATTTTTCGCAGCGAAACTCTGTGAATTTCAGTAAAATATTATTGATCAAGTTTGAGTTAACTAATTTTGCTTTTTTACTGCTATATCTATGTCTACTTCAATTTAAATCCGGAAAGAAGACTTAAATATTAGTTTTATTAAAAACTAACATACTTTCATGACCAGCACTTTTACATCATTTATTAAACATAATTTATTGATGTCTTAACCATCCAACTTAAAATTCAAAATTCAAACAAACTACTTTAAAAACTGCCCACATATTCAAGAAACCGTGAACTAAAGTTTAAATTTATTTCTGCAAGAAATACACCAATTTATATTTTTTTTCCAGATCCCTTTATTTGAGGAACAAAAATCACGTTGAAATGTTTATTAACTCGTTACTGCCTAACGACGATGCGTCTGTTGTGTCTGGCCAAATCGTAGGAGTGGATTTGGTGCTGCTGGAAGGAATGAGCGACCAGGTCCTTGATGAGCTTGAAGCCCTGCTGGCACACGGGGCACGAGTAGGGCAGCACCTTGTGCGTGTTCATCTGGTGCTCGCGCATTTTGTCCTCGCGCGTGAAACTCATGTCGCAGTGGCCGCACGGAAAGGGTTTCTCGCCGGTGTGCGTGCGGACGTGCCTTTCGAGGTGGGTCGGCGCCACGAAGCTCTTGGGGCAAAAGGTGCACGCGTACTTGCGGGGGGGTCGGCGCTGCGCGTGGTGGTAGTTGACGTGCCGCTTCAGGTTCTGCGGGTGCGAAAAGGTGGCCGGGCAGAACTCGCACTGCTGCTCGCGCACCCCCAGGTGCACGGTCATGTGGTTCTGCAACTGGTGCCGGTACATCATGGCCAGGCCGCAGAAGTCGCAGCTGAAGCGCCGCTCCGAGGCCACGTGCAGCCGCAGGTGCACGTTCAGCGCCTCGCGCTTCTTGAACTGCCGCGAGCAGATTTCGCACAGCAACGACGGCTCGCGCGGCCGCACCTCCGCCCTGTGCTCCCGCCGGTGCATTTCCAGCTTTTCCCGCGTTTCGAATGTGAGCCAGCAGGAGTTGCATTGCCATCTGCCAACAATAAACTCAGCGTCATCAACACGGCTGATGGGCAGACCATTTCGATTCTTGATTTAATCCTCATTTTCGCTTTTGGAATATGCAATGGGGGGTTTTTTTTATTGAAAATAAATAAAATGTCGAATTTTGTTAGAAATTATCAGTCCTTGAAGATGGAAATTTATTAATTATTTTATTTATAACAAAAAATGGCTAATTAATTTGAAAATATTCTTTGGTAAAATTTAATATTATGTTATTCAAATGCAATAAAATTAAATCAATTTAAGATACAATGATATCTCAATTTGGCTTGCAAATTTGCACTTTATTTTTCTTCATTTTTTTTTTATTTTCCCTGTAAAAGGTTTGTAAATTCTTTGGACTTATTGTTAGTAGAGAATTGATAATTTAAAATAATTATCATAAAAACTGTATACTTTATAATCATTGCATTGCCGTTGGCCCTCAATTTTTAAGTAAAAATAGAAAGATTTCCTCAAGATTTCAGTATTGCTTGCAAAATATTTCTCAATTAAAACACTGGCCCTTTTTATTTCCATCGAATTAAACTTTTAAATTTCCTCAAATGTTCACTTCTAAAGTGTCTTTCTTTTTCATCTAAATTATTATTTTAATCGCGGTTGAGTTTAAATTAAAAAGCAAAATGGCAATTTTCAAGAAAAATCGTCAACGTGAAAAGAAATAAAATTATTTTTATTACAAGAGAGCATAATTCAGACAATCAAAATAAAAATCTCTGGTTATTTCTACACGTCTTGATAATCAACATAATAAGTTCAGTGCGGAATTCACGGTCGGACGACCAGTCGTTGTTTGGCCCTTGACAAATCGTATAAATGAGCCTTGTGCACCTCAAAGGAGTGGGCGACGAGTTCCTTAACAAGTCGGAAACCAGCCCCGCACATGGAGCAGCGCTGGGGCATGACATTGTGGTGCTTCAGTTTGTGCTCGCGCAATTTGTCGTCGCGCGAAAATCGCCAGTCGCACAGGTCGCACGCGTACGGTTTTTCGCCAGTGTGCGTGCGAATGTGCCTCTGCAGGGGCAGCAGGTCGGTGAACCTTTTCGGACACAGGTGGCACACGTGCTTCTTCTCGGGCCGTTTGTTGAGGTGGTGCTCGCGCACGTGGCGCCGCAGACTGGACGGGTGGTTGAACGTCTTGGCGCAGAAGTGGCACTGCTGCTCCTTGGCGTCCAGGTGGACGTGCATGTGGTTCGAGATGAGGTGTTTGAAGACAAACGTGATGCCGCAGAAGTCGCACTTGTACACGCGCTCCGAGCCGAGGTGCAGCCGGTAGTGCACGCGTAGCGCCGACCGGTGTTTGAACGTTTTCGAGCAGATTTCGCACATGGCCGTGAGTGGCTGCCGCTTTTCTTGGCGGTGCTCCTTTTTTCGATGCGCGACCAGAATGTCGCGGGTGTAGAAAAATTCCCAGCACGTGTTGCATTGCCATCTGCCAACAGAGGCTCGCGGTTAGACAATAATGGTCACTTTTACAAAGAGTCAGATTTTGATTTGCTGGAGACGAGCGCTCATTCAGTGGCTATTTTTTTTGAGGATTTGAGAATTTAATATCTTTAAAATTTTGAAACTCCCAGATGCGATTGGCATCACAACAATACAAATCTTTTTAATTGAAAAATCAGTGAAAATAATTTCTTATACAATTTAGCAACATGTCTATTTAAATACTAGAGAAAGCTATGAAGATAAATTTAGGAAAACATCAATGGTGTAATTTTCTTGTAAATGATTAAATGAGAATTGCGTAAAATACGTAAAATAACAATAAAAAACTTCCCAAGCAGGTGGAAGCAACATAATGCTATAGTTTTTCTTCCGAACAGCTGAAAAATAACTTTTTCCCATTTTGCAGTTTTATGAAATCATTTAATAGCATCCAATCCAAAACAAGTTGTTTTTCTGCTCATTTTTCAATTTTTGTTTTTAATCAACCTTGCAAAATATCTATAAAGACTTTTAATTGCATTAATTAATTAAAAATTGAAACAATTGCGCCCTGATTTAACACTCGTCCCCGAACATTATTTCTACATGGCACTATTTTGACTTCTTAAATTTTTCAACCGTCCAAGTATTCCTAATCTTTGGTGGTGATTCGTTTGCGCGACATGTCGTAGGCGTGCACTTGGTGTTGCTCAAACGAGTGCGAGACGAGCTCTTTGACCAATCGGAAGCCCGCGTTGCACACCGGACACACGTAGGGCATCATCTGGTGGGCCTTGAGCTGGTGTTCCTTCAACTTGTCCTCTCTGGAGTAGCTCAGCTCGCAGTGGCCGCACGGATAGGGTTTTTCGCCCGTGTGCGTGCGGATGTGCCTTTCAAGGTGGGTCGGCGCCGGAAAGGTTTTCGGACAGTACGAACACGCGTACTTTCGCTCGGGCCGACCCTTGCCGTGGTGGTACTGGATGTGCTTGCGGAGGCTGTGCGGGTGCGAGAAGAGGGCGGCACAGAACTCGCACTGGTGGTCGCGCACGTCCATGTGCACGTACATGTGGTCGCGCAACTGGTGCTTGAAGACAAAGCGGATGCCGCAAAAGTTGCAGAGGAAGCGGCGCTCGGAGGCGATGTGCAGCCGCCGGTGGTAGCGCAGCGCCTCGCGCGTTTTGAACAGTTTCGAGCAAATTTCGCACATGGCCGTGAGCCGCGTGTCCTTGTGCTCCTTGCGGTGCGACTCGAGCGCGGCCTTTGAGGGGTACGTGCTCCAGCAAGTCCCGCACTGCCATCTGCTAACAGAGCTGAATGGCACACCACGGTTAGTCATCTGCTCATTTTCAGTAATTTTTTCGTAAAAAAATCAGCATTCAGAGTGGCAAGTGCAAGGAGTGTGCGCAAGGACACCACGGTAATCATAACAAAAGTAAATTATTGGAATGTTTTTTTTTTTAAAGTAAAAATCTAGGTGCTTCGACAATTTTTTCTGTCTTTGGGTTAGTTATAATTTTAATTGCGTCATGAATTGGACCATTTTGAATTACTCTATGCAATTATCACTACGGTGGTCATATTACAGTTCAATGTAATTAATTTATCTCAATATTCACTTTTGACGGCATTTCAAGACCATTTTGAATAATTTGGCAATTTCATTCAAAAGCAAAATTTTATATTTTACTTTAAGCGTATAAATTTGATGATATCGAGTAGCTATGATACAATACTGCTTTAAAAATATTTTTGTTAAATATAAGTTAAAAATAAATAATAATAATTGATTGATCAAGGAAACAAAATTTAAAATGACACAACTTTCAGTGTTGTAACATATAAGCTGATGCAGCTAAAACTGTTTTCTAACTTCATGAAAGTAGTAAAATTACTTTCTTAGATAAACTGCTGGCTTCAAAATTATTCTTTAAATTTCCAACTTTTTCATCATTTTTATGTTAAAACTTTCAGCACATTAATTAATTTATACACATAAAAAAAAATGTAAAAGGTAGGAAATTTTAGCGTTTAGTTTAAACATTTAAAAATATAATACTTAAGGAAAAGTTGAAATTAATTCAATTTACATGATAAATTTTCCTAATTTACAGCAAAATACTGTTTTGTCTTGGAACACCGTCAAATCAACAGGGAATTTGAAAAATTCATAAAAATAAAAAGTTACAACCGACGATGGCATAATTATAGTTTTTTTGTTCACAAAAACAGTCTCTAAGGCTTGGTGATGATGCGTTTTCGCGACATGTCATAGGCGTGGACCTGGTGCTGCTCGAACGAGTGTGAGACGAGTTCCTTGACAAGGCGGAAGCCCTTGTTGCAGACTGGACACACGTAGGGCATCAGCTGATGGGCCTTGAGTTTGTGCTCCTTGAGTTTGTCCTCGCGCGAGTAGGTGAGGTCGCACAGGTCGCACGGGTAGGGCTTCTCGCCGGTGTGGGTGCGCATGTGGCGCTCGAGGTGGATGGGCGCGGTGAAGCGGCGCGGGCAATAGGTGCAGGCGTAGCGCTTCTCGGGCGCGCCCTTGATGTGCATGTCGTTGATGTGGCGGCTGAGGCTGCGGGGGTGCGTGAACGAGGCGGCGCAGTACTCGCACTGCAGGTAGCTCTTGTCCAAGTGCACGTGCATGTGGTTGCGCAGGACGCACTTGTGGAGGAACGCGATGCCGCAGAAGTGGCACGCGAAGCGGCGCTCGGAGGCGATGTGCAGCCGCCGGTGCTGGTACATGACCTCGCGCGTCTTGAACTGGCGGGCGCAAATGTCGCACATCGCAGAGACCTCCGAGGTCTTGTGCACCTGCTTGTGCTCTTTCAGTTGCTCCTTTTTCTCGAAGCTCATCCAGCAAGTGCGGCACTTCCATCTGCCAACAGAGCTCAACGTCAAAACCCTGCTTGGCTGTGGTTTCACATTCATTCATAATACTAAAGGTGGTTTCTCAAAAGTATCAAATGGTCTTTCTATTTTTCCTTTCAGGTGTTAATAAAAGCATATTTAACAATAAGTTATTTTGATTCTTTAGCAATTTCAAAAAGTATATTTGTATTTTCTTTATCCAAATTGATTGAAATTAAAAAAAAAACAGATGCTAATCAAGATTCATATTTCTGTTGTTTACTTTCAAAATAAGGAGAATAAAAAAATTTCCCCGCTGCCACCTCCTAGCTACGGAATGAAATTGTATTTTTGAAGGCTTTCAGTAGATAGAATAAGATCTAAAACTTTTTAATTCACAATCCAGTAATCACAAAACAAATCAGGCTTCATTATTTTATCAACAGAAGGAAAAACTTGTTAAATCTCACTGACAATTTTAAATTAGATTATCTGATAGACAGAAGTGAGCATTAAAAAAATTTAAATTGAAACAGGACGAAAAAATCAGCATAAATTATAAATTGAAAGATTCTACTATGGTGCAGATTAATTATATCTCACTTTAAATTTCCCGCGTTTGTATATTTTTTTTATAATATATGGCTATATTTTATACGAAAGAGTTTGTCTTATTTAACTTTTTACATTACATAATTACTCATTGTGACCAGTGGCTCTAGCGGCCGAGCGCTCTTCTTTGAAGGAGAGTGTGCCGTGCTTTAGCAAGTTGTTTGCTAGTGAAGAGCCATTGCGCCATTCACCTCAGTAATGAATATTCTTCTCATGTATTTTCAGTTTTGTCTTAGTTATTTTTTGTGTATTGACTTGATGTAAAATGAGGTAAGTTTGTATTTCAATTATTGATTGGAGCATAAATAAATATATAAATGATGTATTAATTTAATTTTTCCTTTTTTTTATTTCTGTACAAAACTTCTATATGATGAATCAACTGATATGGCACATAATAAATAAATATTAAACCATACGGATGAAAATCAAAAGTTTCAGTTAGCAGTCTTTAATGAAAAAATTGTGAGATTCACTACGATTTGTTAAATATCTTTTATAGTCGTTTATTTGTATAACTCAAGCTCAGTTTCTTTTCGGCCTGCAGATCTGGGTTTTTGCAAATCGAGCGCCTGAACTTGGTGTTCCTGAAAGGTGTGCACAGCCAGTTCCTTCAATAGGCGGAAGCCGGCGTCGCACACCGGACACACGTAGGGCATGCGTTTGTGGACACGCAAATTGTGGTCATTGAGTTTATCCGCGTGCTGGTAGTGTTTGTTACAAAGGGTGCACTCGTAGGGGCGCTCGCCGGTGTGCGTGACCAGGTGGCGGCGGACGGAGGCCGGCGCCAGGAACAGTTTCGGACAGTACGGACACTTGTGTCTCTTTTGCTCAGGCGCGGCCAGGTGGTGGCGTTTGTAGTGGTGCCTCAGGTTGGCCGGGTGCGAGAACGTCTCGGCGCAAACCTCGCACTGGAAGGTGCGCAGGTCGAGGTGCGTCATCATGTGGTCGCGCAACTGGTACTTGTGCAGGTAGGCGACGCCGCAAAAGTGGCACACGTAGCGCCGCTCGGAGGCAAAGTGCGCCCTTCGATGCTGCAGGACGAGACGCCGGGCGGCGAATTGCTTGCCGCACACGTCGCACATGGCCGGGGCAGCCGCCGCGTGCGACGATCTTTTGTGCTCCAGTTGGTGCTCGCGCAGCAGACTCCGCGTGCCGAAAGTGCACCAGCACCGCGCGCATTGCCATCTGCCAACAGAGCAAACCGTCAGCGTCTCTTTCTTTTTCTCTCTTCTCCGTCACCACGCCGCGCAAATTGTGGTAATTCAATGAGAATCGATTCCCGACATTTTAGTCCAATTCAAATTTCTTCCAAAAATTTTATTTTCAGAAAAAATATTTTTGTAAAAAATTTCAGTCTTAACATGTAATTAGAACAGAATTACATTTATAATAAAAGAAATTTAAATATTTAATAGGAAGTACTGCAGATTTTCCAGTTTGCTGTATTGGATAATTCAATAAGTTATTAAATTCGCTTGATTTCCATTCTGCATGGATTCTGAAACTGGAAGTAGGAATTTTAAAAGTTTGAAAATTTCTCTTCTTTCCAACACCGATTCACATTGTGAAATTATTGAAAAAGGGTTAGTGAATTTATAGGAATTAACAATGTAGAGCAGGATAATATATTATCCCTCCTATAAAACAATTAAAAACTCACAAAACCTATTGAGGAATTGCCATTTTTTTAATGAAAACAAAATGATAAATATTAGTTAAATTGGAATAATTTGATTAGAAAATTCCGGTTTCTTGAGAGACAAATTTAAAATCATGTCATTTAAAAAAGCTCCTTTTAATTCATTTAAATTTTAGATTTATTTATTAATAATAATTAATTAATGGCTAGATTTGAAATTCACAATTACCATAAATTATAGTTTTTATCATAATTTTTTTATTCTAGTTCAAAAAATTATTTAGAAAAATTTCTTTTTTTTTTACTGCAAAACTTTAGCAGGCAAAATAAAAATTCCTTAATACTGCAGATTTTGATTATTACATAAAATACATTTTATTATCTAATTCATCTAACATTTATTTCATCTTTGCTTTTCAAAAACCAATAAAAATTTAATAATTACACAAATTATAACTAAATGCAATTTAAGTTACTTTTATTTTAAGGAACCAGCGAAAAAAGTTCTTTTTGCAGCTTTAAATGTAAGTGGCATGCGCCTCGAGACAGTGGTCAGCAAGGGCCTGCCGCGTCCTCACGCCCAGTTTGCAAACGGAGCACTGGTGGGGCATGATTTTGTGCACGGAGGCTCTGTGGGCCCGCATGTTGTAGCTGGAGGCGAACTTGGCGCCGCAG